GCCTGCTCTTGGATTTGTACCTGTTAACAAACCGATCCTGACAGCATCGTACGAAGTTGCTTACCTGATCGCAAAGCAGGGCAAGCCACACACCATTGGTGAAACACTTGTGAAACCAGCTGCATTAAAGATGGCGAATCTGATACTGGGAACAGCGGCCGAAGGTAAATTATCCCAAATTCCCCTTTCAAATGACACCGTCAGTGACAGAATAGAAGACATGAGTAAAGACATCTTGGCTCAAGTAGTCGCGGATCTGATTTCAAGCCCGGCAAAATTCAGCCTTCAACTCGACGAAACCACAGACGTTTCTGATCTAAGCCAGCTTGCTGTTTTTGTACGCTATGTGAAAGACGACATGATAAAAGAAGAGTTTTTATTTTGTAAGCCTCTTACAACAACAACGAAGGCAGCCGATGTGAAGAAGCTTGTGGATGACTTCTTCAGAGACAACAATCTTTCATGGGATATGGTTTCTGCAGTTTGTACGGACGGAGCTCCAGTCATGCTGGGAAGAAAGTCTGGTTTTGGTGCGCTAGTAAAGGCCGATGCACCACACATCATTGTGACGCATTGTATTCTGCACAGGCATGCGTTGGCAACAAAAACCTTACCTCCAAAAATGGCAGAAGTATTAAAAACTGTGGTGGAATGTGTGAACTATGTGCGAAAAAGTGCTCTGAGGCACCGCATCTTCAGTGAGCTGTGTAAAGAAATGGGCTCTGAATTTGAGGTACTTCTGCTCCATTCTAATATTCGGTGGTTATCCCGGGGACAGGTGCTGAATCGTGTTTTTGCCATGCGTGTGGAATTAGCCCTGTTTTTGCAAGAGCACCAACACTGCCATGCAGATTGCTTCAAAAATCCTGAGTTCATTCTCATTTTAGCGTACATGGCTGATATATTCGCAGCTCTCAATCATCTCAATCAGCAGATGCAGGGTGGTGGAGTCAATATCATGGAAGCGGAAGAACACCTGAAGGCTTTTTAAAAAAAGCTACCGTTATGGAAACGACGAACAGAGAACAATAACTTCGCAAACTTCCCGCTTCTGGACGACTGTGCAAGTAAGATCGAAGATGTGTCTGGAATCGGAGATATTTCTGTATCCACGGAACTGAAGCAAACAATTGCCACGCACTTAGATGAGCTTGCAAAGTCTCTCGACGGATATTTCCCTACAAGAGAGTCATATCCAGCATGGGTGAGACAGCCGTTCACGTTTGCTGTTGAAACAGCAGATGTCAATGATGAATTCCTCGACGAAATCATTGAAATTCAGCAGAGCCAGGTTCAACAGCAACTCTTCAGAACAACAACGCTCTCAACGTTTTGGTGTCGACAAATGAACAAGTATCCAGTTATTGCTAAGAAAGCCCTGGATTTTTTTATACCATTTGTTACAACATATCTTTGTGAGCAATCCTTTTCGAGGATGCTGGACATAAAAACGAAGAAAAGGAACAGACTTTGCTGTGAAAATGACATGAGAGTGGCACTTGCCAAGGTGAAGCCACGCATATCTGAACTGATCTCTCAAAGGCAACAGCAGAAGTCACATTGATTTCCAGGTATGTAATTTGTTGTGAGTTTATACATTGTGTTGGTTTTATTCTTTGAACAAGGTAATGTTCATGCACGGCTCATTTTGTGTACCAGTAAAAAACATATCTATGTCTTGAATTTGAAAAAAAATCACATTTTATTTTTCACTAAAGAGGGGTTCGGTGAATGCGCATATGAAACTGGTGGGGTTCGGTACCTCCAACAAGGTTAAGAACCACTGCTCTATACCATAGAGCCCAATGCATTTCCGACCAGGAACACATTACCAGTGAACTCAAGCACGTACACCAGGCTCTCAGGGCTAATGGCTACTCCGACTACACAATCCGCAAAGCGATCACTCCAGTCATGAAGAAGGATCCTCTTGTGGAGCCACTCAAAACCATCACCTTACCCTACATTGCAGGGGTCACTAAAAAGATCTCCAAAATCCTGAATAAACACAAGATCCAGGTCCGATTCAACACAGTACATAAAATCCGTGATTTAGTTCCATCTGTAAAAGATGCTGTTCCAGACATACAGTACCCGGGCGTTTACAAACTAAAGTGCCTCTGTGGTAGTAGCTACATTGGAGAAACCAAAAGACATATCTCGGACCGCATCCGCGAACATAAAGCAGACTTGAAACACGGTAGGACGAACTCCTCTGCCGTGGCAGATCACTGTTATAATTCAGTGGGCTCACATGACATTGACTTCTCTAAGACGGAGGTTCTTTGCAAACCAACCGGCTACCATGAGAGATTCGTTCATGAGGCCATTCACATATACAAGCACAGAGACAATTTCAACCGAGAAGATGGATTCTGGCTTAGTAACCACTGGAAAGATGTTTTAAATAATGTCTGTTCTTAATTAATTGTATTTTTACGATGACCTTCAGACCGCAGCTCTTTCGCCAGCATTGCCTCTTAATACCTCTCACACCACGGTTAATGGTATGGTTTTACAACATGAAGTATACTAGGGCCTCGCAGCTGTCTCTCTCCCCCTCCTCTGTTCCGACCATGGACGAACTCGTCCGTCTGAACGGAGCCCGTAGCTATCCGTGGTGCTGAAGTTGAGGGTGAGAATCCACTCATTTTTTCGCCATATAGCATTGTGATATATAACGACTTATTGTTGATAGCTTAGCTGATTGGAGAATATAGAGTTTATTGATAACATGAAGGTAATTTATATTTTAGTTTTTATTGGTTCACTATATAGTACTGTGAATAGCTCAGATGTGTAGGCCTTGACTTCAACATAGTCACTTCTGTGACCAGTCACTAGCTAATCACTCAGTTATTTCAATGCTAAATTCGCCTAGTTATTTCAATGCTAAATTCTCCTGTTTGATTTGTACTAAGTGCCTCGGTGAATGTGTATGGTCTGACTTTAACGTAGCTATTTCTGTGAGCAGTTACAAGCTAATCACTCAGCTATTTCAATGCTAAATTCTATGCTAATTCCATTGTCAAGGGGTGCCTCTGCGGATGTGTATGCTTTAACTTAGCTATTTCAATGCTAAATTCTATGCTAATTCCATTGTCAAGGGGTGCCTCTGCGGATGTGTATGCTTTAACTTTTAACATAACTATTTCTGTGACCAGTCACAAGCTAATCATTCAGCCATTTCAATGCTAAATTATATGCTAATTCCTTTGTCAAGGCGCTTTGTTCCTCTCACACAGCTTAAAAGGCCGTGATCTGAACGTGGCTCTTTCACTCCAGCGCTGTCTTACCAGACAGTCTCGTCCCTTCACCTGATGAAGGCCGCTTGTGTTGTGGCCGAAACGTCGTGAGAATATTATTGTGTTATTTTATTTTATCAATTTATTATTTTATTCTCATTCTACGTGACTTTACTGAAAGAACCAAAGAAGATGAATCATTGCAGTCACGAAAGCTTTAAATCGGAATCTCTTCATCTTCGGGACGGTTGCTGATGTACATGCAGAGCAACAACTACAACTTCTCATTCAGGTGGTCAAGCCAAGATAACAACCGCATCAGGAGCAGTAGCGGTGTAGTGCATCATCATCGCTCTGTCTCCTTTATATCTGTGGATCAGGGCGTTGCGTCGTTTTACTACGGTCCGTTCTGGATGACCACATTTGCACACAACTGCTGAAATGAAATAGCAGTGAGCCAACAGCGTGTTTCCGAACGGATTCACGCAGTTTTCAAGAGCGTCTAGCCTCGCCGCAGATTTGGCCAACGTCCCGCGGGAAACTATGGCCACCTTTTTTCGAGTGGAATTTCGATTCGTTGTTTTTTTTTCCGACAGTTTTTATGTTTTCATTCCGGAGTGTTTTTTTTTCACGGCATTTGTCTTCGTGTCCGTTTTTTTGTCTGATACTTATGTGACGTGCCTCGTATACCTATCGCCGTGCCACGGAAGGCAATGGTTAAATAGATAAGTATTGGTGAACTTTAATACGAAGGTTTTTCACGACCAATATCATCTATAATAGAGATTTTTTGGGGTTAGTTCGCATAAATATCAATGCTTCGTCAAACCCGCCACCACCCGACACGGCCAATTAGTAAGGTTTGTCACGTAAACAGAACGTGCCAATTCGTTACGAGTACAGCACAAATCTGACTGTCGCCTGATGAAGCTAGTGTAATTACTGGCAAAACGTCGTACTCAGATTGTAAATGTAGTGGATTTGCTCTCTAACACACTGGTGTGCTGTACTAGTAATGAATTGGCACGTTTTGTTTACGTGACAGCTTACAAATTGTCTGTGTAGGATGGTGGCGGATTTAACGACACATTTATATGTACGCGATCTAACCCAAACTTGTTTGTTGTTGTTGATTACAATTTGACATCGAAGAGAATTTCACCACAACTCTTTACCCAAGCATTTTGTAACAAAGACAAAACTCCCCCGTATAACCTCGACAGGCTGTTGGGGCAAGTGCTGTTTGTGAGTAGCAGGACCTATGAAGGCCGGAACTGTGGCACACAAAGGGGTGGGTGGCTAGCACCACGCGAGGGCTGCCTGGCCCCCTTTCTTTCTACAGTGGCGATGTTGACTACACATCGCACCGGGATATAATTTGAGGCTGAGTCAACCTAGGGGGGGCAGGACTGTGCTCGGATAATCCTCACTTTGGTACTAGCAAAAATGTCCCATTTTGTATCTGCTCTGATACTTGCATTGTCTTTGTACTGTTCGTCTTTTGACGTTTTCTGATCTAAAAAAGAAGACTGTCTCTGGTGGAGGCCAATCAGTTTCAAAGACAATGCATATATTATCAGAGCAGGTTTGTTTGCATGTTTAAGTAAGTGTGGTTAATGCAGTACTAGATTCCTTGCAAAAGGTTTCTATTTGGTGTTTGAACATCTTAACATAACTCCTGTTTTATTGCCAGAAAGGGTAAACACCTATTCTTATTTTATCAAGTTGTGTTGCGCGTGTCTCCTTGTGACTCAGCAATGGAGAGGGTACTGGCGAGAAGCAAGCACTCGCTGGAGCTCAACGAGCAGCAGTACCTGCTGGAGGTGCGTCGGGCTGGTGACGAGTGCCTGGTAAAGCCCAAACCCATCGGATCTGCTGCTGTGAAGGTGAAGATGACAATAATCAGAATTAGAATCATCAGAATATTTATGTGTACTGCAGGAGGAGCTCTTTCTTCACAGATGTCCAGTAGCGGGGTACGGGGCCAGAATGTTACAACATGCATAATACTTAAAAACACGACTGGGATGCTAGAAAAGGTAAATAAATTATGAAAAACCCCACCGATACGGCTATTGTGAACCCCACCCATACGGCTATTGTGAACCCCAAACACACGGCCATCCTCAACCTCACCCACACGGCCATTGTGAACCCCACCCATATGCCATCGTGAACCCCACCAGTACGGTCATCGTAAACCCCACCCACACAGCCATCGTGAATCCCACCGACACGGCCATCGTGAACCCCACTCACACAGCCATCGTGAATCCCACCCACATGGCCATAGTGAACCCAATCCACAAGGCCATTGTGAAGCCCACCCGCACGGCCGTCATGAACCCCACAAACACGGTCATCATGAACCCCACCCACATGGCCATTGTGAACCCCACCCACACGGCCATCATGAACCCCACCCACATGGCCATCGTGAATTCCACCAACACAGCCATTGTGAACCTTACCCACACGGAAATCGTAAACACCACCCACATGGCCATTGTGAACCCCACCCACACGACCATTGTGAACCCCACCCACACGGCCAACGTGAACCCACCCACACGGCCATCATGAACCCCAGCGATATGGCCATTGTGAATCCCACCCACATGGCCATCGTGAACTCCTCCTACATGGATGGCCATTGTGAACCCAACCAACATACAAATACAATTAAACTATTTTTTTTCATGCCCTGGCCGTAAATGATAGCTCAACAAAGTGGCTCATCATTACGTGGAAATTTATAGCGGCAAAATAATCTAAATAATCTCAATGTATGGCGCCCGACTGCAGTCACATAAATTGATTGTGCGACCCGTCATCATTTTAGTAGTAGTTGGGCTTTCTCTCCCAATGTTATTCACACTAAAAGGCATTTTTTGGGTTCGATTGCGTAAATATAAATGTGTCATAAACCCACCCAAATCGCCTGATGAAGCTGGCGGAATGCCGTTAACTGAAATTTTAAATGTCGGAGTGGGTTTACTCTCCAACATACAAGCGGTTAGTCTACTGAACTAGTAACCAATTGACACGTTTTATTTATATGACAAACCCGCATTGATTAGCTATATCGGGCGGTGGTGGCGGGTTTAACGACACATTTATATTTACCCGATCTAACCCAATCAAAACAAACCTCCTGGTTTGTCACAAGTTCCTATAAGCGCAAGCTTCCAATTGTGAAATAATTGATCAGCTGAACAACCGCCAACTGTTCTCGTTTAGGTGGAGCCGACTTCTGCCAAAACGATGACCCCTGACGTGTGTCCAAAATGTAAGTAAAGCCATAGGAGAACGTTATTGTAATTTTTGTCTGTTACGTGATTTCTTAAACGTCTGTGTGTGTGTGTGAGATACTAGGGATGCGATTTGCGTATTTTTGCGTATCTCTGGTCGATATTCATCTTGTGGGTGTAAACCCTCATCAGGCCCTACTTAATTCTAGTAATCACTCTAATTCAGAGCCGGCGTGGCACATCCAGGGCCGTGGGATTTTCATCGGTCTTCATAGATGTCAAAACGTGTCAATTAAAAAAACTACACATTTAGAATCGACGTCACGCATTTGGAGTATTTGGCTGCTACTATAAATGTCCACGTTATGATTATAAGCCACTTCGTTGACCTATCATTTATGATGATGGCCATAGCTCAGTGGGGTCTTACACCTGGTAAAATAGTTCGTTTTAGTTGATATCTTTAGTGCCAAAGCCCCACCATTCAATTAGCAGTGCATTGACAAAGGGAGGGAGCATGTATTATGTACTCTACTCACTTATTAGGATACATATAGAGGGTGGGTGGGACTAATCAGTAAACTATTTTTTTTTTTACAAATGATAGCTCTACGAAGTGGCTTAATGCATGGCAATTTACAGTCGCAGCCAAATAATCTAAACACTTGATGTGGATTCTAAATGTGGAGGGAAAAAAATCGTAGGACCCAGATTAAAAAATACACGCGGTTACTGGGAGAGAGACATGCAAACTCCAAATATGCAGCAGGCGTTGGGGTTGGAATGGAACCCACGACCATCTGTATACCAAAATGTAGAATTAAATCTTCATCCCAGTCTTATGTAAAATTGCACAATAGAGATGTTAAGAGTGCCATGGTGGCTAGGAGATGTTAACCACCTCACCTGGCATACAGGAGGTCATGGGTTCGAACCCGACCCTGACGCCTGCTGTATATTTGGAGTTTGCGTGTCTCTCTCTCTCTCTCCGTGGTCGCGTGGATTTTTCTCTGGCTACTCCAGTTTTTCACCTCCACATTTAGAATCAAAGTGTGTTGAGAGTATTTGGCTGCTGTAAATTTCTACGCAATAAGCCACTTCGTTGAGCCTTACCTGGTAAATAAAAAAAATGTTAAATAGTCTTGCCGGATGACGGTAGTTTGGAACTGCCAGATTATAATATTTTCAGAATTGTTGCCATGCCATCCTGTTGGGAGCATTTTCAATGCTGCTGTTTGACCAAGCTGCATTGCGAGGCTGTCCCCCTGGTGAAATCTGCATCTTACGGAATTGTGTCAATCTTTTATATTTGTAATACCTGTGTAGTGTAGAGGCACCTTTTTTATTAACACACACGATCTGGACTGTACACTCGACACTTGCTAGCCTGAGCACAACACTAGCTGCCTAGCATCGACGGCGCTAACTGACTACACAGCTGGCTGACTATCTAGCAGTGGTGACGTCGAGCGATTACAAAGACGAAGACGACAGAAACGACAAGATGATCCGACTCCCACCAACAGCCCTCAGCCACCGCTCTCAGCTTCTTTTAACCAACCAGCGTGGCCCAGTTTCTCGAACCCTTATTAGCAGGTTCTAAGAACTTCTGGATGGACCCCTCTATGACCCTTGCCCCAGTTCTTCCACTCTGCCGACACGCTCTTCGATATAGGCCTTTTTCCAAAATTGATATTAATAATGATTTTGCCGATATTTTTTGTTAATCACTTGTGGGGTCGCTGGGAGCACAAACAAACGAAACCCCCCCACCCCCCCCCCCCCCCCCTTTCGAACAGCTGCCTTGTCACCCTCTCAAAGACAATGACACCCTCCCCTCCCACCAACGGAAAGGGTCAGTCATAAAGTCATAAAAAAAACACACACGCCCCCCCCCCTCCCCAGAGGAAGGAGGCCACAGACAATCAGACGCCACGCACAGGCGAGTTCAAAGGGATTCCGGTCCTTCGTGAGGGAGCAGGTGGAGTAAGCATCTGTTTATTTTCTCTCGCAAGAGATGCGCAGAGGGGAGATTTTTCATATATAACAACAACACAGCTCAACAATTGAACTGGACAAGGAACAGCTCGGCGAGCTACAGAAGAGGGTGGAAAGCGGCAGGCTCCGGGGTGGGCCCCGCAATCAACCGAGGATGGCGAGGCTTGCAAGTAGCGATGTGTCATCGAGAGTGAGTTCAGAGCTCAAAGACGAAGTATCGCTAAAATAGTTTTATTCTCCATCGAGTGCCAGCTCCCAGCAGCAGCTGCAGCCCGAGAGGAAGAGTGACGAGCGACGAAAGCAATCGTCCACCAAAGAGAGAGAGACGGAGCAAGAGAGAGCGCGCACCAGCGCAACCAGCTCCACCAAGCAAGGGTGCCAGCTGCCAGCGGACAAGCGTTGTGCCGACTTGGCTCATCCAGCAGGGGAAAGAGCCTGACCAGCCGCCTGCTGCTGTCAGTGGACCAGCGGCGAGCGCGATCGAGCATCTTCAAGGACAAGCAATGTGCCGATGCAGCTACTCCAGCAGTGGAAAGAGCCTGTATCTGCCAGCGGGCGACCATCTAAGCCGACACCCCGAGCAAGAAAAGCAACGAAGCCGTTTGGATGACCCTCCCCCACACCCACACCCTCACGACGCATCACCCGGCGTCTGCTTTACGAAGACACCCAACACGCATATCGGGACAAATCAAGAAGGGTTGCCATTCCAAGGTGGTGCATTAAAAATCAACTGATCGTGAAGAACATTGCTGCCCATTGAGTTACGTGGATACGGTCATTTAGAAGTATTTTAGTTCGTTTTTTTTCTAATTGCATAAGCTTACAAACTAATTAATTGATAACTACTCTTGCCTTCGGGACATGTTTCTTTATTGCCCTTCGCATGAATATGGTTGCATGACTTTTTAATGACTTTTCCTCTCGCCATGTATGCTCGCGTACTCTGAGGAATAATCGGTTGTTCTGTTACCCAATTACCAACATGACCATTGTGGGTTAAATGTATGGATCAATGAAGGGAACATCGCCTTGAGCACTGTGTTGACAATTTCAAGCATAATAATTTGCATATTGTAGTGTAGGGGTTTTTGTATAGAATATCGCTGCATACCTGTTTTAAAGACGCTCCCTATCACCTACTAAGCTCGTGTTACGTGGTAGAATTAATCATATGTGCGGTTCCCAAAGTGAAACAACTCAACCATTGATGGTTAAATGTACTGCTCGCGGAAGGAAAATTCCCCGATGGTACCGGGGGTAATTCCAAGCATGAGAGTTCGCGTATTATAGTGTTAAGGTTTTGTTTAGAATTTTAAATTGCTTAACACAAAAGTGTTTGAGTGTTTCTTTCCTGAGTTCATGCAATAATAATCTTATTTATAAGAACTGTATCCTGCGGTGAGATTTGAATTTGGAGACCTGACATAAACACACTAATACATAATCCGTAAATGTTCAAGCGAGAACAATTGTATTATACCGATTGATAATACGAACCTAGACAACAAAGCCGAGTTTAATCTGGCATACTTACAGCCCTCCTGCATAACTTCATACGATTAACTGTACGATCCCGATTGATGATACGGCCCTCGTCAGCGAGGCAGGGCCTAATTATCATAGCGGCTCGCATTAGCATAATCGCACGTGTTCGCATAAATTGATACGTTTATCCCTCGTAATAGCATAATTTATGCGCATAATTACACCACTTAACATAACTTCGAATAATTACAAAATTTGCCAAATTTCATTTAATTGTTATTATTTTCATAAAATTTTCAATACCCTGATATACAACACCCCTGGAAACTGTCGCTCACTTGCGTGTGTACTGTTTATACACCACAGTTGCCACTTCTGGTCACCAGCCGGCGCTATTACACTACATCACCCCCCCCCCCCCCCTTCTTAAAAATATAGCCCTTCCCGGCTAACACTTAGCAACGAACCAGGTGATTAGGGCAGAGTAATACTCCGCAGAATCGACAGCAACATGAGTAGGGCAAAACAACAACCCGCAGCAACTGATATAGGACAGAGCAACTCCGCAGAATTAACAACGCGGTAAATGAAACACTCAATGAGGGTGAGGGAATAAAAAAACGACCCCTTGACTAACGAACACAATCCTGACGCACACGCGAATAGACAACGGAAACAGCACTCCAGCTGACTGCAACACAGCACATGCTGCAGGCAAAACCATCTGGAGGCACCCAACAACATTTTACGATCCCCCAACACATATCCCCCTTTCAACCGACCATGGCATTAGAATACACAATTTGGGACACGCTCATCGGAATGTAGCGCACTTGGACCGGGTCCTGGACGCTGGGCCCTCATCTTGGACGGGGTCTTGTACTTCTTGCACAAGCGGCCTAAAGGGCCTGGACCCTCCCTGCAGAAGAGTTCAACCAGGCTCCAGCCTTTGATTCTTCACGCGAGGTGGCTTCAGGAGGATTCCCAGACATCAGTGGCTCAGATCCTGTGGGTAGCACAACGCACTTTTTCTGAGGCACAGCTTCCGAGGCCGACTGCCCCGGCTCGTCGGATACATCAGACACTGGCCGTACAGGATTTGGGGATGAACTGTCTAACTGGGAATTAACATAGGGCTTCAGGCGTGACGGGTGAATGAATCAACGGTGATGCTCTGCCTGTATCCACGCACACTGCGGTTGTCGAGCCTCCACCACCTCAACGGGCCCCGCCATGGCCGATGTCATTTGGGGGATGTACCCGGCGGCACCTGAGGGCAGTTCAACCAAGCCTTTTCCCCAGCCTTCCATGGGAGCACGTACTTCCACTGCTCGGCGCTCTTTTCATTAGCACCCTGATTTTTGGCGTAATTTTCCCTCTCTGCTTTGCGCGCCTCAGACAATCGTGCAAGCTTAACCTGCATGGGCACAGGCATGGCGGCCTTCTTTTACCATGGGGGTTCGTTCTCTCGCCCATACATAAGATAGAATGGGGAAATCCTGTCGAGGTGTGTAGGGCCATCCTGTATGCCACTAGGACCCCTGGGATGTGCAAATCCCAATCCATCTGCGCCTCATTAACCACCTGACAGAGCATCGATGTTAGGGTCTTGTGCAGGCGTTCTTCCATACCGTCCATTTCAAGATGGTATGGTGACGTTCGAATCTTTTTGGTGCCAAAAGCATAGCATACCTCCTGCAGCAGTTTCGACGATAAATTATGCCCCTGATCCGTGAGAAGCTGCCCAGGTGCTCCCTTGTCCATCACATAGCCACGCAAAAATGCATCGGCAATGGCTGCTGCAGATTGGTCTGGTAGTGGCCAAGCCATTGACCAACAGGAAAAATATTCCACACTGACCAGGAGGAATTTGTTTCCCCTTTGGGTAGCCAGAAACGGCCCCAGAATATCAAGCGCAACCAGCTCATTAATTCTGGACACTATGATGGACTGCCATGGAGTCTGATCCATTCTCAGCAGTGGTTTCCGGCGTGCACAATCAATACAGCCCTTGACCAGATGGTACACAATGTCTGACATACCTGGCCAATAAAAATCTTTCTGCAGCATCAACAACGTTTTCCGGACTCCGAGGTGCAGTAATTTATTTTCGTGCACCCCCGTCACCCTTCCGCGCAAAGTGGTGGGATCCATTTTACAATGGTGCTGCAGCTCCTCATCCCACCTCATCAAAAGTCCCTCACGAAGGACTATGCGGGACACTCCCGCTGGGGCAGAATCATCGTGCTTCACGTCAGCGCGGTGCCGCAAGTTCAGTAGTGACATGCAGCCGTCCCCACTCGGCGTGCATGAGGCCCAATGTACTGTTCCCAGGCGTGACACCTCAGTCGGCAATCCATCGCAGGTGGTTTACACCTGGGAGCACCCGCCGAGCATGCACAATGCTCACTCAGTGGCAGGCGGGACTGTGCATCTGCGTTGCAGTGCCTTAGACCCTTTCTGTAGATTACCATAAACAAGTACTCTTGCAGCATTTCCAGCCAGCGTGAAAGCTTCCCGGACGGCTGGTCAATTCGCAAGGAGTACTGGAGAGCCGCATGGTCCGTGTGCACTACAAAGTCCCTGCCATAAAGATATGGCCTATACTGCTGTATAAAATATACCATGGCCAAAAATTCCCTGCATGGCACAGAGTAGCACTGCTCCACGGTGGACAGCACGCGACTACCATACACGACCACTCTTTCCACACCGTTTTTTACTTGGGACAAGACAGCTCCTATGCCCGTATCACTGGCATCCGTATCTAAAACGAATGGCAAGGAGATATCAGGATAGCCGAGCGGGGGGGGGGGGGGGGGGGGGGGGGGCGCGTTATCAAGGTGATCACATAAAGTGACAAACACAGCCCCTCCTCCTCCCCCTATCGAAACTTTTGGTTTTTAGTGGTCAAAGCATGGAGCGGTTTGGAATCATCGTGAAATTATGAATGAATTGTCAGTAATAAGATGCTAACCTGACGAAAGCACTGACAATGTAACGCAAATACCACACAGATATTTGTGTAAAAAAATGGCAATCCCATAGGCATGAAGTTAAATTGAAACAAGCCCTGGAGAGGTCGAAATGTGGTCTTCGGTTTAGAGTCCCTCGTCAAGGGGTAACTGCCACAACCCCGATAGAAAATCAAGAGTTGAGAAGAACCGAGCACCTGATAACGCATCCAGGGAATCGTCCATCCGAGGGAGCAGGTATGCATCTGCCACTGACACCATATTTAATTTATGAATATTTACCCAAAACCACAGGCTCCTGTCCCGTTTTTTTTTAACTAGCACAAAGGGGGAAATAATGTCAGCGGCCAACATTTCCTCAACCGCCTGTTGAACATGTTCTTTCTCCCTCGGGCTCAGCCTGGACGAGTTTTGCCTAATGGGAGCTGCGCCACCCATATCAATGCGGTATTGCATCAATGAGGTGCGGACGAGTTTTGCCTAATGGGAGCTGCGCCACCCATATCAATGCGGTATTGCATCAATGAGGTGCGGCCAATATAAAATTTCCTTTGGTTGAAAATATCAGTTAACTCCTGCAGCAAAGCACGCAACTTGTCCCGTTGATCTCGAGACAGGTCCGGATTCTCGGTGCACAATTTATCAGCCCATGTCTCGTTTGACTCGCCTCTCTCTTCCACCGTGCCCACGACCTCTGCTGCAGCTGTGTCGACATCCTCGCAACACACAGCTGCCGCGTCAGCTAAGACCGTACCAGCCTGGACAACCGCTGCAATCAATCCAACATTTAACACCTGCAGGAACAGCTCCTGGTCTGTCCTAACGATCGACTGAGCACCCACCAGCGTGAGGCCCCGAGTTTGGATGGGGTTAAGAGGACCCCCACCTCGGAATTTGCCAACTGATTCCTTCACCAAGGCCTGGACCGTGGTGTTAGCCATAGTAAGCCTATCTGGGGAAAGCAGCCGTCATGGATTGGCACATCGCACCCTCGTGTACCGTGGGGGCGACGCGCCCTTTTCGCTTTCCTACACTGCGTACAAAATGGCGGCCGTTGGCCGCGCCGCACCGAATTGGATGATAGCTCTGCTATTATAGAATTAGTGGACATAGTTTGATTAATGTTGATTGGCTTTGCTATAATCCAATTAGTGGGTTGAGTTTGATTGATGTTGATTGGCTGTGGCTCTGCTGTCATCCACTCTTTGGGCAGAGCTTGATTGATTTTGATTGCCTGTGATGCTGCTATCATCCACTCAGTGAGCTGAGTTTGATTGATGTTGATTGGCTGTGGCTCTATTATCCACTAAGTGTGCAGAGTTGATTGAGGTTGAATGGCTGTGCCGTTGCTATCATACGCTCAGTGGGCCAAGTCTTCTGCTGGGTGGGAGCAGGAAAGTATTATTATCACTGAGTGCGAGGATAATCAATCGTTAGTTTTTGGCATAGAGAGATCCGCGGAAAATAGATATATATTTTTGTTAATTATCCGCGAACGTCCTCCCCGTCATTACAGCGGATATTCGATATCCTACTGTAGATAATCGATTATACAGTAGATTATTGATAAATTATTCAGCGGCTTCTCATGACATTACGTTTTTCGTCATCATTATATGTTTTTATTAGTTTTTGACATGTTTACCCTATGCAATTGGCATGAATAAACATACAAATAGACACAAATACCCTACCGTAACAAGTGACTGTATTTACTGTACCGTACTTACCGCTTTAATCTCGAAGACTGCATCATGGGGTGATGTATATTATGTGCAGTATTTTCATTGTTTAAGTTGAGTGTAGTGTCCATAATACAGGTGTTTGGGTTAGATCCCATGAACATAAATGTGTCGTTAAACCCACCACCACCCAACACAGACAATTAGTAAGATTTGTCACCTAAATTTTTTTATATTCTTAGCTCTTTCGGTAAAGTCACGTTGAAGGGAAACAATAAAATAATAATATATATAAAACAGTAAAAATTATTGTGAGAATGTTTATTGGTTTTAATATATATTTTATTATTTTATTGTTTCTCACGAGAATATTTTATTGTTTCCCTTCAACGTGACTTTACCGAAAGAGCTAAGAATATGAATTACTGCAGTCACGGAAGCTTGAAATCAAAATTAAAACCTAAAATTTTGTTTACTAACACATTTATATTTATGCGATCTAACAAAAAAACTGTTATTAATAATATTGGTCGCGAAAGCCTCCTTAGTGTTAAACTGTGTGTAGTGTACAATGTAGTGCATGTAATATTTCACACTAAAAACAAGCATAGCTATTTTGTTCGCGAAAACGGTGCTGATCACCGGACTGCGTTGCAGCCTTTGAAGCGGTGTTTGCCGGTTTCGCTGGATTGGCCTGGGACCAGCTGGATAATGTTGGAAGCTGCCAGATAATCGATGATAAACTGTACTTATACATACAGTAAACCTTTGCTAATTTGAGACATATGGGGCTCTGGCCTTGCCAAATTATCAAATATTCCGAATTATGTACAATGGTATTCCCCAGTTCCTCCTGTCCCTATAAAAAAAATAATCCATATTTACTTCCAAACTCTTCACATACCACACGCATTGACTCACTTCCTGCATCAATTCCATCCAAAATGTCGTATTTGTCTCGCAGACGAAGGTATTTATGCTTCAATCCCTTACTATTACCTCTTGATGTAGGTGTAGACAACACATCTGAGAGGGTTGGCTTGCCCAGTGCACAAACAAGGTAAAGTCTAAAGCAACAGGCCTGCACTAATATTCACCATGCACATCACCACTAGACTGAGTCATTGCTTTGGTCGTGGTGCACGGTGTTGCTGCACGGGTATGCCGAAATTGGACCATTCGGTATAGCAATTCAGCTCATGGCGAATTACTAATACTGTGTATATGCCTAAAGCACAGCTGTGCTGAATTATCCCCAATTACGAAGGATCAAATATAGAAATAACGAGGTTTTACAGTATATATGTATTTTATTTTTATTTCATTTTTATTTTATTATGTTTTATTTGTGTTATTTCCCTTCTACGTGACTTTACCGAAAGAACCAAGAAGATATATAAGTATAATTTAGATATCTTTTGGTTGTTTGTTTCAGTGCCCCCGTCCGGAATTAAAGTGGACAAAGTAGCGCATCTGGACAAGGATTTTGTGTCTATGTATTTTGAAAGCGAAAAGCGGTCTGGTGGGGGAGACATTGCAAGCATGGAGGAGGAGGCCGAATGTTGGATCATCACTTTCGAAGACCCCACAGGTGACTTACGGGACACTCACGCCATGCCTTCATATTGTTTTTTTTTTGCTCACGAAAAAAATAAAATCCTGTTTCAAAGATAAGAATTTGCCGCTTTTGTGCGATGGCGAGCGGTCTGAAAATATATACTTCTGTATCTCCATCATTAGACCTCCTTTGCCAGTACCAAAATATAATAATAGGGTTTTTCCCCTTTTTCTGGCAACAAAACTGAAACCTTGTTACGAGGATTCATGTCCGCATTAACCACAATACCTGCAGTCAAAATGCAAACAAAAAACATGCTACGATAATATATGCATTGTCCTTGAAACTGATTGGTCCACACCAAGGGACGGCTTTCTTTTGAGCCTCGACCCAATTGGTACTTCTGATGTTTACGGCACTCCAGGATAGATGCTGTGAGCAACTGTCGCACATCGAGCAGTGCAACTCACGTGGCTGTTTGACAGTGGGCATCTTCACAGAGCTGTCATATCAGTGCACTTACTTCATTTGCAATCATGACTTAAAGCTTTCGTGACTGCAGGAATTCATATTTTTTGGTCTTTCGGTAAAGCCACATAGATAGAAAAAGAATAAATAATAAAAAAAATATCACCACGTTTCGATCGCAGCACAAGCAATCGTTATCAGGTGAAAAAATATAGCGGGAGAGCTGCTGAGGCAGGAAAAAATATAGCGGGAGAGGTGCTGAAGCAGGATGTTATATATGTTTGAGATGGGTGTAGCCCAAGGGTAAGTAGGGTGGGCTAGAGATGGAATTTGCGTGTAAATGTAAGATCGGAGAGCTGATATACCTCCACGATAACGAAGCTGTGGGTGAGAGATTAGCATGTCAATCTGTTAATGTAAGATTAGCATGTCAATGTAAGAAAGCCGGGCGCCACTGAAGCAGTGGAGGTGGCCATTGTATTGTGAGAGATTAGCATGTCAATGTAAGAAAACCACCGCAACAGTGGCTGTGTTGAGAGAATTAGGCCGGCTAATGTAAGATTAGCATTTCCATGTAAAAAAAACAGGCACCACCGCCAGATCGAGGAAAACAAAGCTGTGGAGGTGGCTATTGTATTGTGAGAGATTAGCATGCCAATGTAAGATAACCACCGCAATGGTGGCTGTGTTAGTGAGACATTTAGCCTGTTAAAAAACGAGAGCCACCACCACATCAAGGGAAAGAAGCAGCAGTGGCTTTGTTAGTGAGACATTTAGCCTGGTAATGTAACTAAGAAAGTCGGAAATGACTGCTAACATCGGCAGGTAGGATGGAAACACCACAGCCAGTTATGACTTAAACTCGTTAATAACGTCGTTCCAATGATTGCTCAGTTTGTACCCATTTTGTCAGTTGAAATTGTGTCTGTGTTTATATATCTGGATGGCTTTATGAACGAATCTTTGTTGATAGTCAGTGGGTTTGCAGAGTACCTTCGTCTTGGAAAAATCTATTTCGTGTGTGCCCACAGCGTTATAACAATTGATTTTTCCAAGACGAAGGTACTCTGCAAACCCACTGGCCATCAACAAAGATTCGTGAAAAAAAAGTTACACAGATCAGTGTGGCCTTACCTGGTAAAATAAAAAAAAAATAAAACCGGAAATGGTCGAGAGCCACAGGGGGTGCGGTCGGTGAACTCATGCATCGATAAGTTTGGCGCGAATGATGAAATCTGCGATGGGAAAACCCGCGACGGGCAAGGTTTTAATGCAACAATACATGGAGCATAAACCACCATCATGCAAACTCCGATCATCCTCACAGCAGAAGAGGCTCTTGGCTGGCCATTGAACAAAGATGGTCACCTCATCGCGCGCTTTCAGATGCACTCCTGTGGCCATCTGGAATGCTTTTTTACATTTAGTTTGTTGTCATTCCCCCACACCTCAGAATAGCCTGCTTAGCTATGTACGGTTGCAAAAAAGTTCAACAAACATACATATGTAGTGTCAGTGCACTGACTGGTGGCCGTAAGGACTAATCGCGGTTGGCAAAACAGCACACAGTCTAATTATATGGGAGTGACCACAAGAGGGGAAAAACTAGGCCAAGGGTCAAAGAGAGGGTCTATCAGGAATTTCCCAGAACCCGCGAGAGACTTCATGAAGAGGGGCATGGCCAGGGGTGGGGCATGGCCGCGCTAGGGGCATATAAGGGAGAGTGGAATGAGATTCTGGGCGCTCGAGGAGTTCGGGGTCCTCGCCCGTCCCCGCTGTCATCATCGTCGTCGCTGCTGTCTCTTCGTCATTGTCGCTATGTAGCTGTCTCACTATATAGTTAAACATCGTCGTCATTGCTATATAGTTGACCACCTGTATAGTCAGACATCGCCACTGTCGCTGTATAGTCAGCCAGTTATATAGTCAGTCAGGGATAAGAATTAGTGACTGTGTCATTAAAGTGGTAACTCTATGCCGACGAGGAATAAATGAGAAGCCCTCTACAGTCCGTGTCTGAAGTTTCTACATTACACATACATACTACCCAATGCACTACACAACACACTGTACACACTACACTAAACACTACATGACTACACCCTATACTATACATTACTATACACTACACTACCATACATTACATTATTACACACTACACTATACATTACTATACACGACTCTACAATACACAACACTATACTACCGTTCACTACACTATACACTACTATACACTACCATACACTACACCGCTATACCAAATTGACAACCAATTTCTTTAGAACTGTTCTTTATGTGTTAGTTATCCTTATCCCCATGCCTCCTGATTAGCACAGTTGGTTACATACGGTGCCAAAGAAGTTCAACGTACAACACGTATGTACGTACAACAAGTTGATTATGTTCACTGTGTGGTCGATGTCTCTGTGGTTTACTAGTGGGGGAGCGGGTGCTGAAGCGGAAGCATTCCCTGAAGGGACACGAGCTAATGTGCGTTAGCTTTGTGGGTGGGCCGATGGCGGCGGTGCAGAGATCACCAGAGTATCTGGACCCATGGAGGGTTCTGCTGAGTGGCTTCACGGCTCCCATGAACGTGGACATACTGAGGATGTTCGTCGAGAACTGCAGTGGCACCCAAAATTTCCAACTTCACGAGACGGACGACGAACACTGCCGAATCGTCACTTTCTTCGATGATATCAGTAAGTCGGACGAACGCCGAATGCCGGTAGGGTGGGCGTTTTTTGTTGTTGTCTGTCGTTCTAAAGCTACCTCCTGTGCATTTGACTTCAAGGCATTTGACTCCCTAAAAACGGGAAGCCCTTTGGCGTGTCCTCCACCGTCTTGGATGTCCAGAGAAGTTTGTCACCATCCTGAGGCTCCTGCAGGACGACACGACCACCACCGTGGCGAGTTGGGAGATCTGAAATAGACGCCTTTCCTATCCGAACGGGTGTCAGACTGGGATGTGTGATCGCCCCCGCCTCATTCACCAGACAGAATAAAGTGGGGGCATCAGCATCCAGTACCGTCTGGATGGGAAACTCACTGAAGGCACTTAATGACGTGGCTTAGAAAACAATGGCAGAATGGAACAGTGGAGTTGCTACGAGGGTTGAGGAATGAGTGACAGCGACAATAGAGGGGTGAATTTTGATTTAAAGCTTCCGTGACTGCAGTAATTCATATTCTTAGTTTTTTCGGTAAAGTCACGTTGAAGGGAAACAAAATAATAATAAAATATATATAAAACAATAAAAAATTCTCACGACGTTTCGACCATAACTCAAACGGTCGTCTTCAGGTGTGTTGGTTTGCATAAATTATTTTTTAAACGGCGCATTTATTTATTTATAAAAAAACGTTAGCGCCACGCGCAACGATTTGGCAGTTTATTTAGGACTAGTCCATCTATATTATGAAAAGAGGAGGGGGGAGACGAAATTTTTATAATATATGCTGTCTGAAAGCCACTGTAAGCGTGAACAATCAATTAAGACCTGAAATGGTTTATCAAATCTTTCCAATGATTGTTAAGATAGAATCCATCTTCTCGTTTGAAATTGTCTCTGTGCTTGTATATGTGGATAGCCTCATGAACGAATCTCTCATGGAAGCCAGATGGCTTACAAAGAACCTCTGTCTTGGAAAAGTCAATGGCATGTGAGCCTACTGAATTAGAACAATGATCTGCCACGGCCGAGGTGTTGGTCCTACCGTGTTTAAGGTCTGCTTTGTGTTCACGAATGCGGTCCGAGACATGGCGTTTGGTTTCTCCAATGTAACTACTACCACAGAGGCAACTTAGTTTGTAGACACCAGGGTATTGTATGTCCGGAATCACATCTTTTACAGACGGAACCAGATCACGGATTTTATGTAATGTGTTGAAACGGACCTGGATCTTGTGTTTATTCAAGATTTTGGAGATCTTTTTTGTGATCCCCGCAATGTAGGGTAAAGTGATGGTTTTGAAAGGCTCCTCAAGAGGGTTCTTCTTCATGGTTTGAGTGATAGCTTTGCGGATTGTATAGTCGGAGTAACCATTAGCCCTAAGAGCTTGGTGTACGTGCTTGAGTTCACTGCTTATGTGTTCCTGGTTGGATATGCATTGGGCTCTATGATACAGAGTCTTGATGAGATAATTCTTCTGTGATGGATGGTGGTGGGAATCCGGTTTCAGATAAGCATCCGTATGGGTAGCTTTCCTGTAGACAGAGTGGCTCATTGAACCATCAGGTCTCTTTTTAATTAGGACATCCAAAAAAGGTATCTTGCCATCTATTTCGACTTCCATGGTAAATCTGATGGCTGGGTGTATGGAATTTATGTGGTCGAAGAATTGGTCTAGAGCAGGCCGGCCATGTGGCCAGATGACAAAAGTGTCATCCACGTACCTCTTCCATAAGGTTGGGCGCAGAGTGGCAGTCTGGATGGTGTCAGTCTCAAATTTCTCCATGAAAATGTTAGCTATAACTGGAGAATGGGGGGAGCCCATTGGGGTGCCCTCAGTTTGTAGAAAGTTCCATTCCAAGTGAAGTATGTATTGGTTAAACAGTGTATCACCAGGGGGGGGGTACCTCAGTGTTTAGTCCTTGATGAACCAAGTCTTCAATGATTGCAATGGTGTCAGGTACAGGAACCTTGGTGAATAAGGAAACTACATCAAAACTGACAAGCAAGTCATCTGGGGACAGGGAAATACCCTTGATTGTCGATACCAGGTGAGTAGAATTTTGTACCGCAGAGGTGGTCTTTCCAGTGAAAGGACGCAGGATTTCAGACAAAAAACGAGCTAGTTTGTGGGTGGGGGAGCCGATAGTAGAGACTATGGGACGAAGGGGTGTATCTACTTTATGTATTTTTGGTAAGCCGTATAATCTTGGTGGCCTGGCAGCAGAAGGTTTCAACGAAAACTGTTTAGATTGATCAATTAATGCGGTTGAATCAGAAATTATTTTGTTGGTTTGTGTGACGAGGCTGTTGGTGGGATCTCTTTTTATTTTTGTATAACTACCATCGTCGAGTAATTCTTTAATTTTGTTGTTGTATTCTATTTTATCCATGATGACAGTAGCATTGCCTTTGTCAGCTGAGAGGACTACAATATCATTCCTTTTTTTAATTTATATAATTCAAAACGCTCATCTTTGCTGAGGTTGCTAGCTGGCATCTTAGCGTTTTTTAGGGTTGCAGCGATTTCAGATCTTGCTACGTCTGCAGCGATGTGACCCAGGCCCCTGGGAGCAACGTCTACTTGGGCAATTATATCATTAACTGGTATGTGTTTAGGTGTGACTGCAAAGTTTAGACCTTTAGCTAAAACGGATTTCAGACCATCGGAAATAGAACTGTTACTGCGATTAATTACTACTTTGTTAACGTCTAACGTTTTGGTGTGTAGGTCCGGTCTTTTGTTGAAGAGGAGGTTAAATTTGGAAATCAGGTTTTCCTTACATTTGGTCGACATAGTAGCAGCTGAAGAGGCAGTCATATTGTATACATGTTCCCAATCCGATGTGGACATTGTTGCCGTCAATGATAAGTGTGATTTGTAGAGTGTCTTGTCTAACTGATCTAGTTCGGTGCGTATAAGTCTGATTTTTTTCTGAGATAAGAGCTAAGCTAGTTTTGAAAAGAATTCCTTTCGCATTAGAAGAAGTTACAGCATTAGAGGTCAGTGTAAATGCGATTGGTATTACCCCAGAGTCACGGCATCTCTTCAGGAAGGTGAGAGACTCGATCAGCTGAGCTTTCTTATCCCGGAGTTTGTTGAAGGATCTTAAAGTTATGTGAAAACCCTCCCCGTAGAGGCGATAAAATTTTGATTTAAAGCTTTCGTGACTGCAGTAATTCATATTCTTAGTTTTTTCGGTAAAGTCACGTTGAAGGGAAACAACAAAATAATAAAATATATATAAAACAATAAAAAATTCTCACGACGTTTCGACCATAACTCAAACGGTCGTCTTCAGGTGTGTTGGTTTGCATAAATTTATTTTTAGAAAAAATCAGACTTATAAGCACCGAACTAGATCAGTTAGACAAGACACTCTACAAATCACACTTATCATTGACGGCAACAATGTCCACATCGGATTGGGAACATGTAGACAATATGACTGCCTCTTCAGCTGCTACTATGTCGACCAAATGTGAGGAAAACCTGATTTCCAAATTTAACCTCCTCTTCAACAAAAGACCGGACCTACACACCAAAAAGTTAGACGTTAACAAAGTCGTAATTAATCGCAGTAACAGTTCTATTTCCGATGGTCTGAAATCCGTTTTAGCTAAAGGTCTAAACTTTGCAGTCACACCTAAACACATACCAGTTAATGATATAATTGCCCAAGTAGACGTTGCTCTCAGGGGCCTGGGTCACATCGCTGCAGACGTAGCAAGATCTGAAATCACTGCAACCCTAAAAAACGCTAAGATGCCAGCTAGCAACCTCAGCAAAGATGAGCGTTTTGAATTATATAAATTAAAAAAGAGGAATGATATTGTAGTCCTCTCAGCTGACAAAGGCAATGCTACTGTCATCATGGATAAAATAGAATACAACAACAAAATTAAAGAATTACTCGACGATGGTAGTTATACAAAATAAAAAGAGATCCCACCAACAGCCTCGTCACACAAACCAACAAAATAATTTCTGATTCAACCGCATTAATTGATCAATCTAAACAGTTTTCGTTGAAACCTTCTGCTGCCAGGCCACCAAGATTATACGGCTTACCAAAAATACATAAAGTAGATACACCCCTTCGTCCCATAGTCTCTACTATCGGCTCCCCCACCTACAAACTAGCTCGTTTTTTGTCTGAAATCCTGCGTCCTTTCACTGGAAAGACCACCTCTGCGGTACAAAATTCTGCTCACCTGGTATCGACAATCAAGGGTATTTCCCTGTCCCCAGACGACCTGCTTGTCAGTTTTGATGTAGTTTCCTTATTCCCAAGGTTCCTGTACCTGACACCATTGCAATCATTGAAGACTTGGTTCATCAAGGACTAAACACTGAGGTACCCCCCCTGGTGAGACACTGTTTAACCAATACATACTTCACTTGGAATGGAACTTTCTACAAACAAACTGAGGGCACCCCAATGGGCTCCCCCCATTCTCCAGTTATAGCTAACATTTTCATGGAGACATTTGAGACTGACGCCATCCAGACTGCCACTCTGCACCCAACCTTATGGAAGAGGTACGTGGATGACACTTTTGTCATCTGGCCACATGGCCGGCCTGCTCTAGACCAATTCTTCGACCACATCAATTCCATATACCCAGCCATCAGATTTACCATGGAAGTCGAAATAGATGGCAAGATACCGTTTTTGGATGTCCTAATTAAAAAGAGACCTGATGGTTCAATGAGCCACTCTGTCTACAGGAAAGCTACCCATACGGATGCTTATCTGAAACCGGATTCCCACCACCATCCATCACAGAAAAATTCTCTCATCAAGACTCTGTATCATAGAGCCCAAAGCATATCCGACCAAGAACACATAAGCCGTGAACTCAAGCACGTACACCAAGCTCTTAGGGCTAATGGTTACTCCGACTATACAATCCGTAAAGCTATCACTCAAACCATGAAGAAGAACCCTCTTGAGGAGCCTTTTAAAACCATCACTTTACCCTACATTGCGGGGATCACAAAAAAGATCTCCAAAATCTTGAATAAACACAAGATCCAGGTCCGTTTCAACACATTACATAAAATCCGTGATCTGGTTCCGTCTGTAAAAGATGTGATTCCGGACATACAATACCCTGGTGTCTACAAACTAAGTTGCCTCTGTGGTAGTAGTTACATTGGAGAAACCAAACGCCATGTCTCGGACCGCATTCGTGAACACAAAGCAGACCTTAAACACGGTAGGACCAACACCTCGGCCGTGGCAGATCATTGTTCTAATTCAGTAGGCTCACATGCCATTGACTTTTCCAAGACAGAGGTTCTTTGTAAGCCATCTGGCTTCCATGAGAGATTCGTTCATGAGGCTATCCACATATACAAGCACAGAGACAATTTCAAACGAGAAGATGGATTCTATCTTAACAATCATTGGAAAGATTTGATAAACCATTTCAGGTCTTAATTGATTGTTCACGCTTACAGTGGCTTTCAGACAGCATATATTATAAAAATTTCGTCTCCCCCCTCCTCTTTTCAGAATATAGATGGACTAGTCCTAAATAAACTGCTAAATCGTTGCGCGTGGCGCTAACGTTTTTTATAAATAAATAAATGTGCCGTTTAAAAATAAATTTATGCAAACCAACACACCTGAAGACGACCGTTTGAGTTATGGTCGAAACGTCGTGAGAATTTTTATATTGTTATATATATTTTATTATTTTGTTGTTTCCCTTCAACGTGACTTTACCGAAAAAACTAAGAATATAATAATAGAGAGGTGCTTAGAGGGGATCAAGGGAAGGCGACCGGGGAGAGAGGGGAAGGAGTGGAGGGGTGAGGGGAGGGAAGAGGAAGGGAAAGGGTGATGGAGAAGCAATGGTGAGGCTTCGAGAGAGGAGGCTTCATGTCCAGGGGCAATGTTGAGTCTATGGGCAGTGTTCAGTCTATGGGCAGTGTTGAGTATGGTGCAGTGCTGAGTCTATGGGCAGTGCTGAGTCTATGAGTAGGGTTGAGTCTATGGGCAGTCCTGAGTCTATAGTGCAGTGTTGAGTCTATGGTGCAGTGTTGAGTCTATGGTGCAGTGTTGAGTCTATGGTGCAGTGTTGAGTCTATTGTGCAGTGTTGAGTCTATGGTGCAGTGTTGAGTCTATGGTGCAGTGTTGAGTCTATGGTAGTGTTGAGTCTATGGTGCAGTGTTGAATCTATAGTGCAGTTTTGAGTCTATTGTTAGTGTTGAGTCTATGGTACAGTGTTGAGTCTATGGTGCAGTTTTGAGTCTATTGTTAGTGTTGAGTCGATGGTGCAGTGTTGAGTCTACGGTGCAGTGCTGAGTCTCTGGACAGTGCTGAGTCTTTAAAAAAAACACCAAAAATAATAATTGCATGGTTGGAAGTGGGCTATAATAATTAAATACACACTCTTTCATGCTCTCATAGTAAAGGCAAAAACCTGAGTGTTTATTTGGTCATGGCCTCATATCTACCAGGCAAGATGTAAACTTAAAGGAAAATATTGTACAGATCTGCTAGCGGAGAGCATTACGGTTTTTTTTAGCAATTAAATCTCCGCTCTGCTAAACATCGCCTTTACAACGTGTAAGAAAGGCAGATAATGGAAGACCCTGGTTCTTAAACGTCGAACAGTGGATTGGAGAAACACTGTCCAGGCTGGTGATAATAATACAAGAATAGGCTGTACCCTTTCTGGCAATAGAACAGGTGTGTTAAGATGGTCAAACACGAAATAGATTAAACATTTTGTAAGGCATCAAGTACTGCATTAACCACACACAGTACTTGTGGTCAACATGCAAACAACACAAGCTCTGATAACAATGTTACATGCGTTGTCTTTGAAACTGATGGGCCTACACCAGAAACAGCAGCCTTGTTCTTCATAGTGCGCCTTTTGGCGTCATCTGGTCGAACACCGTATGAGACTAGGCTCTAAGAAAAGCGGTCTCTGGTGTGGACCAATCAATTTCAAGGACAATGCATACATTATCAGTGTGTTTTTTGTTTGCATTTTGACTGCAGGCATTGTGGTTAATGTGAACATGATTCCTCGTAAAAAGGTTTCAGTTTTGTTGCCAGAAAAAAGGGTAAAAACGTATTATTACCACAGGCGTTAGCGAACAACGCCAAATGCGAACAGTACAAATGCTATTTTAATTTAGCGAATGCTTTTACAAGAAAAATAAATAATGAAACAAGAAAAATCTATAATTAAACAGGCAATGCAAGCATCAAATTATTAATACAATGAAACTAAAGTATATTTTTTTACCAGGTAAGGCCCACTGAGCTACGACGTTCTTTTTTCAGAAGCGACCTGGCTATTATAAATGATAGCTCAACGAAGTGGCTTATCATCATCATGCATACATTTATAGCAGCCAATTATAGCTCATGTTGAGCAGCTATATCTAGGGGACCTTTTATTTCCCAGTATCAAAATGCTGAAAACTAAAAAAGATTCAGCCTTCCCTGACTGCTTTTGGAGTCCCAAGATAGCGACGATCGAGTCATACTGACGATCGAATCGGTCACGGGGTCAAGGTAGAAGGTGAATTAGGACGAGGGCAGTCGCGGACTCCAGGATTCGGTTTTGTACTCCTCTAAAGAGCCTCAGCAGCATACGCGAACCAGAATACATCATTTGATTTGCTTACCTTTCCTGCTTTTCCACTCCTATCGTGTTTGTGAGTATTTGTGTGTTTGTTGTTGTAACGTTCTGACCCCGTGCCCCTACTGGACATCTGTAAAGAAAGCGAGGTGTCTGGGCGACATACTCATCCAGATGTAAACAAATTGTGCTCAAATATTTTTTGCCAGGTCGCTTCTATTAAATAAACGAATAGCTTAGTGGACTTTTCCTGGTCGAATAAATATAGTTTATTGGTAGTTTATTTGTAATTGTTTACCTTTCCTGTACTTTGCACTCCTATCGTGTTTGTGAATATTGTATTTGCTATGTTCTGACCCCGTGCCCCTACTGGACATTTGTTCAAAAAGAGCTTCATCGCTCATCAGATTCCTCCTGCAGCTTAAATATTGATTCTGATTAAAGAGCCTCGGCACCATACTCGACCAGATATTGATAACAAAATGCAATATGTAGTCAGGTCCTGCAATTTTTATATCAGGGCTCTGTGACACATTCGGCTACTAATGAGTTGTCATGTAGGAAACACGGTGGCGTGTAGCATGGTATATTGACAAGGCTCGATTATTGCAACTCATTAGCAAGCTGCAGTGTGTACAAAATTATCTGGTGCGTGTCTTGATGGGTACTTCAAGATCCGACCATGTCCGTCTGGTGCTCGTCGAGCTGCATTGGCTTACGGTTGCCAAATTAATACATTATCCAGTCGTGCTCATTACACATAAAGTGCTTGCCACAAATGAACCACAATACCTTGTTGATCTCGTCAAGTAGCATAAACCATCATCATACAAACTCCGGTCATCCTTGCCAGCAGTGGCTTTTTGCTGGCCATAGAACAAAGACTGTCACCGCATCGTGCGCTTTCAGATGTGCTTCTGTGGCCGTCCGGAACGCTCTTCCTTTCGATATTAGGAAGCCGCTGGAGCCATGTACTTTTACATCATCTAGATTGACAAAATCATATCTATAGAACTAATTTTTGTGTTTAGTTTGTTGTCCTTCCGCCGCACCTCCGATTAGCACGGTTGGCTATGTACAGTGCGAAAGAAGTTCAACATACATACACTATACACTACAATACATACTTTATACTACGTACATTATACTACTGTAGTGGCGTAACGCACGAGGTTTGCAAACAGTGAGTGCATTTGAGGGCGAGCAGGAGCAAGCGTCAAGACATGGAGTAGCCGCCAGAGAGGCGCCAGCAATTAGGGGGAGAAGCGGTAATTAAGCGGGTGCATTTGGGGACAGGCAGGTGCGAGCGTGAGAACACAGGGTAGACGTCGGAGAGGCAGGAGATGGAGATGATAAGAGAGAGAGCACGTGCAGGAGGCGCCGCTGAGGCGCCAGCTAAATTGGGGGTAACTGAGGACCCTTAATGAGGAGGGTATATAAGGGTGTGTGCGGAGCAACATGGGGTGGTTTTTGGTTGGAGCTCAAGGGATAAAGAGGACAAGAGTCGGGGAGAAGAAGCCTGGGATCTTGCCCCCCACACCTCGTCCTCCCTAGCAGTGTTGGCTGATCCCCTGCTGGGGGCAAGGACGAGGGTGGAGGTGTGAGGGAAGCAGGACAGGCTAGCGGAGTATAGAGTGACAGGCTAGCGGAGTATAGAGTGACAGGCTAGCAGAGGATAAAGTGACAGGCTCGCAGAGTATAGACAGAGGGAGTTCGGAGCAAGGGTGTGTTGTGTTCGTGCAAGGAGCATCCCCATGGGATGCGAAGGTAATGAAGTGACACAGGAGAAAAGCTTACACTACTATAAACTGCACCACGATACTATCATTTAAAAATAATTTCTTTAGAACTGCTCTTTGTGTATTAGTTTGTCGTCCTTCCCCTACAATACCGATCAGTGCGGGTGGCTACGTACTGTGCGATGAAGGAAGTTCGACGTACGTAGGAAGGAGATGACTGCGGGTTTTGTGAGCAATGGCAAAAAACTGCGCCCCACTTTCTGCAGACATGGAGTATTTCATCAATTGCTGCAAAGTGAGAGGTTTCGCAAACGTCGTCATCAGGGCGGAGCAGCTTCCCATCACGAAGGTGGTGCGCATCGAGAACCTCAAAGAGGAGGGGAGCGAAGATCACCTCATGCTTTACTTGGAGAACAGATGCGGGCCTAACGTTCAGGTGGAGGCGGCAGAACGTGGATCGACGGCCGACACAGCACTGATACACCTGTCCAGTGTGCAAGGTAATGTGATGCACTGATGTGGTCTGTGCGACTCCATTGATAAATAACGCTGTGTTGGGTTAGATCGCCTAAATCTGCTCTGCACTTTTAAATCTAAATTGAAAACGAATTTATTTTTATGTTTAGTTCATTGTCCTTCCCCTTGCACCCCCTATTTGCATGGTTGGCTATGTACGGAAGGATAGAAGTTCAGCATACATACAACTAAAGAGACCTACAGACACTCATACCCATAGCTACCTACAGAGACCCATATATACACCCATAGAGCGATAGCACCCACAGAGACAACCATAGAGGCACTCATAGAGACCTACAGAGACCCACAGATTAGCATGGTTGGCTACGAACGGTGTGAAAGAAGTTCAACATACATTCGACTATAAACTACAATGCACACTATACACTACATACACTATGCTGTACACTGCACTACTATACACTATACAATACTTTACTAAATTGAAAACTAATTTCTTTAGAGCTTCTTTTTGTGTACTCTTTGGTTCTTTCGGTAAAGTCACGTCGGTAGAAATTATTAACAAAGCAAAGTCGTAACTTGCTGTGGTGCTTCCATTCTTCCCTGACGTTTGGCTGTTATCTCCGACTCTCTGAGTTGCATTGCCCTGTTAGGTGCCTCTGCGTTAACGGGCCGGGCTCTCACTAACATTCCCACCTCTGCTCCCTTAGCCTCGATGTATCGATGGTTCTGGCTGTGTGATGGGCTGTGTGTCTCACTGGAATGACCACCATTACGGTGGTTTTCTTGCGTGGACGCGCTTGCCTCACAGCGCAGTTGGCAGCGCCGCAGCTTGTGTTACACATAGACATGACATTAACTTGCTAATCCCTCTAATCTCCCTGCCTAATCTCTCCTATCAACATAGTGCTGCTAATCTCTCATTAACACTGCTGTTGTGCGCATATGCGGGGCCGATACTCTTATACGGCGACGGAACCTAATTTCATGCTAATCTCTCTCCCTAATCTCCCCCATTAACACAACTGACGTGCTTGCGTCCGGGGATGGAATTTCTTTCCAGCTCAGACCCCGTTTGCTTGCCCATCGCCACGTAAATAACCTCTTGTTGTAACGGCTCTCTCGCTGGTTCAGCAGTTCTACTGCTGGATTGTTTTTTCCGCCTGAGGACGACCACTTGTGTTGTGATCGAAACGTCGTGATATGTTTTTTTTTGTTTTATTTGATTTTTCTACCTACGTGACTTTACCGAAAGAACCAAAGAGTATTCCTGCAGTCACGAAAGCTTCAAATCACTTATTTTTGTGTTTTGTTTGTTGTCCTTCCCCTGCACCTCCAATGAGCACGGTTGGGTACGTACGGTGCCTAAGAAGTTCAACGTGCACAGCACACTTGAATGTAAATGTGTCATCAACCCACCTCTAGCCGACAGCCGATCAGTGACGTTCGTCATGTTGGCAAAACATGCAAATTTTTCGATAATACAGGTTTTTTGGGTTAGATCGCGTAAATATAAATGTGTCGCTAAACCCGCCACCACCTGACGCAGCCGACCAGTAAGGTTTTTCACGCAAGCAGAACATGCTCAGATTGTCGATGTTGTGGATTTGTTCCCCAACACACCGGTGTGCTGATTTGTTATCTGGCTGCCGCCTGACAATGCTAGTTGTAATTCCTGGTGAAACGTCGTGCTTGAATTGTGGATGTTGTGGATTTTCTCTCCAACACACCGGTGTGCTGTACTACTTACGGATTGGCATATTCTGTTTGCGTGACAAGCCTTACTGGTTGGCTGTTTCGGGTGGTGGCGGGTTTGGCAACACATTGATATTTACGGGATCTAACCCAAAAAACCTGTTTCGGGTGGATATTGGTCGCAAAAGCTTCTGTGTTAAACATGCCAATTTATTTGTCACTTGAGCACACAGGTTGCGCGTTGGAGAACCGGCAACATATTTCCAGTTTTGAGTTCACAATGCTTGATTACATCAACCAACTTCATCACCAATGAGAGCCATCACAAAGCAAGGACTCTACCATGACCGCAGCCATATAATGTCAGCTTGTTTTCAACAACAATAATGATTGTCCAATTAGTGTTTAAGTTAATAAAATGTAGTTTGTTATTTAACAAAATTAACATTTGTAACAGAGAATGTATTGATATTTTTAAATACAAATGTCCATAACAAAAAAACACACTCAGACGTAAACGGGTTTTAAAATTCCTAAAATGGGTTTCTGTTTCAATGAACTGGCTTTTTAAGTTAAAACTCACCAAATAAATTATCGGACAAATCGCTCAAAACGAAATACAACTGATTATATCGATTGTTATTCTTTTGATTTCGAACAAATACTAACAATCAACCGATTGATGATGCACATGCTCAGTGATAATAACACTTTCCTGGCTGCTGCCAAGCAGAAGAATCGGCCCACTGAGTAGATGATAGCAGAGCCACAGCCAATCAACATCAATCAAACTCAGCCCACTAAGTGGACGATAGCAGAGCCACAGCCAATCAATATTAAACTCAGCCCACTTCGTGGATGATTGCAAAGCCACAGCCAATCAACATCACTCAAACTCTGCCTACTGATAGAATGATCGCAGGGCCACAGCCAATCAACATCAATCAAACTCATCCCACTGAGTGGATGATAGCAGAGCCACAGCCAATAAACATAAATCAAACTACGCCCAACTGTTGTAAAGATATGGCAACTACTGTACTGTAGGGTGATCACGCAGATTTCAGATTAAAGTGGAGCCACATATCTTTTTGGTTTAAGCACCGTCTGACTTGTAATAACATTTCCATGAATAACAATTTGTATAACTGCTTTTAGATTATTAATTTGGACTTAAGGGGAAATCCATGAGTTTATTAATTTGTCAAAATCTGAGATGCGCGGTTAATCCACAAATTGAATAAACCGCACGTGGATAATCGAGAGTCTGCTTATATCATTTTGTGGCAGACATAGGGCAGCCTTATATACAAAAGGAGGAAGATCTTGAATTTGCGTTGGGTAGAAATTGACGGCTAATCACATTTTTCGTGTGAAAGTGATAGTTTAATGTGTTTAATTTCAAAACAACACCCACCTTATCGATTCTTCTCACCTCTGGTTGGCTATATTCAGTGCAAAAGACGTTCAACATACGTACAACATACATACATTTTGTATAAGTTGGAATGAATCAATCACCATCATACCAACAAGCGAAAACTTTTATTACTGGAATGATCTTCCCGTTTACATGAATCACTTCCCCTCCTTAAGCCCCTTATATGTTCAAATTCCTTTGCACAAACTACAACTTCGCATTCAGGTGGTCAAGCCCAGATAGCCATGTCAGGAGCAGTAGCAGAGTAGTGTATAATCATCATCATCATTGATGTGATGACGCTATTAGTCTATGGATCTATGCGTTCTGTAGGTTTCTGTGGATCTATATGAATCTTTGGGTTTCTGATCCTGGGTCTACATGAGTATCTGGGTCTGAGTCTCCACGGATCTCTGCGAGTTTCTGTGGGTGTCTACACATCTCTGTGAGTCTGTATGGGTCTTCGAGTCTCTGTGCGTCTCTGTGGATCTCTATGTTCTTGGTTAGTTTGGTAAAGACACGTCGATAGAAAATAAAAATAAAAAAATAAAGTAAAAATAATAAAAGCAAAAAACCCACGACGTTTCAATCGCAACACAAGTGCATTTGGGGCAAGCCTCCAAATGCAACTGCTTATAAGGGTTCCCAAAGTGAGTGGGCGGAGAGACTAGGGTTGCGAGGAGGAGAGCTGTGCGTCATAAACAGCATGGGCGGGGCAGCCACTGCTAATGTAGGAATAAAATGCGAGATAGATGTGGAGCTGAAGGCGAGGGGCGCAGTCCAAGTGTGTTAGACAATGGGGGGACGGAGGGGGTAGAGATATGGGGAGAGGGGGGGGGGTAGAGATAGAGGAAGAGAGGGGGAGTAAAGCGAGAGATAGAGGTGTATATCTATGGGTCTCTATGAGTCTCTTCTTCTTCCGTACTGCTGTTGATGTAGAAGCAGAGCAACAATTACAATGTCACATTCAGGTGGTCAAGCCCATACAGCAGCGTCAGGAGTAGTAGCGGAGTAGTGTATCATCATAATCGCTGTGATTTCTCCCTCATTTGTGGATCGGGCCGTTGTGTCGTTATACGTTATATTGTCTGTTCTGGATGACCACAGTCGCACACTGGAGAGTTTTTCATTTTACATTTTTTCATCAGGTATCCGCATATACTGCAATGGTTTTTGCAGTGGATGATGAGCAGCTTCGTGGAAGATCAAACCCAGAGATCTTCTGTGTTGGGATATCCAATGTATTACCATTACCTTTATGCTTTGAATATGGCGCGTCTAATATTTGTACATCGATTTATTTAGTGCGTATGTATTTTAAATACTGTGATCATAACAATTTGATCGTGCATCTGCCTTTGCAGATGTTGAGAAGGTCCTGAATGGAAAGTGGACCTTCAAAGGAAAAGCTCTCACGGCCCACCGTTACTATGAGAAGCATCGGTTGGCATTAATCTCTTTGGACGCGGAAGAAATTGAGCTTCCGAATCCTCAGACCATTTCGGTGGAACCGCGCTTCATGGAATTCATTCTGAAACGCCCTGACGAGTTCGATGAGCTCTTGGCGCAGAACAAAGCGACATTTCTGTGGGATAACCAACGTTCCCCTCAGGTCCTGCAAGTCGCACCAGCCTTGTCTCTCCGCACGTCGAGTTACGTTGTGCGTAAAAAATGGCCGCAAGATATTTGTGAACATATCCAATTATTTCTCGGCAGGTATTCCCACCACTCTGAGCGAGTGAATGCACACATATTCGACGACCTGGCTTCGAAGATTCTCCGATGCCAAACGGACACCGTTGAGATTACTTCGGATGAGAGGGACAGTCGGGTTGATGTCATCGGTCCAAAGTCCGAGGTGGAAGCTGTCGTGAAGCAGTTGTCCACACTCAAAGAGAGCCTGATGGCAGAGCTGGACAAAATACAAAACCTAGCACAGTTCCAATTAACTATGAAACAGGGTTGCTTGGATCTGATGAGACAGAGCACATACGACACAAAACTACAACAACAATTCCCCGAAGTTGACATGCGCCAGGACCTGCAAAAAAACACCGTGGCTCTCAAAGGACCCAAGGAAGTTTGTACGGCAATGTACACCAGGCTTGTTCAGTTGTGTATGCAGTTTTCTTTTACGCAATTGAATGTTTCCCAAGAACTTAAGTCCTTCATTCTGGGCCTAAACCATGACGATTTCGTTCAAAATACATTCATCAGGGAAGGGATAAAGGCCACGATTGATGACAGGGAAGGTGACGTCATGGTGATTGGAGCGAGCGTTGAAGATATGACCAGAGCGGTTGGAGCGATTGGTAAAGCGCTAGTAGACACTAAAGTCCAATTCACACAGGACTTTGACATAAAACAGCACGGAAGTGATTGGGAAGAATTCTTGGGAAGTCTTAGAAGCAGTGATGTCCACGATGGTCTTACCGGAGCCGATAAAGTCTCTTTTGAAGTGCATTGTGATAAGCAGGTTGACAGGGAAGTAGTTATCGTGGGACTGAGTGACGTCACTGATGGGGTCGTACAAAAAGTAAAAAAATTCATCGCTGATCACTCAACCGAAACCGTGTTTATTCCAATCAATTCAAAGGGAGTCCTGAAATACATTGATAAATTTAGTGACCTGCACAGCCAACTACCAGCAGTTAGCAAGCTCATAAAAGAAGAGAAAAGCGATCAAAAGATCGGCTACACAGTTACTCTGATGGCTAAAGACAAGGATGAGGTGGTCAAACATTTTAACAGTCTCTCTAAGAGCATTGTCTCGAAAAAGAAGTGCATTCAAAAGCCAGGAGGTGCCAATTTTTTACACGACAGGGGCACCATATTCTTGGAATTCTTGGAGTTGAGAAACAAATCCATTATTATGATAGAGCCACGAGAAGAACAACAGGAGACCTGGCAGAATGCCTTCAGGGCTGAAACACCACATGGTGTTTCAGCCATTAATGGAATCACAGTGTCTGTCGAGAAGGGGGAGATGCAGCTTCGACATGCGGACGCGATGGTCAATACCGTGGATAAAAACCTGAAGATCGTCGGTCACCTGTCCAAGACGTTGGTGGACGTGGGTGGCCAAATCATTCAGAGTGAAAGAGATAAGAAAGTCGCTTCAAACAGAGGCCCATTCAAATCAGGAGACGTGGTGCTCACGGGCGCGGGGACGCTGCCATGCAAGTTCCTGATCAATGTGGTTGGCATCAAGTGGGATGTCCATCAGCCACCGACTCCGATGCTGAACGGCCTGAAGCACTCGGTCACCCAGAGCCTGAAGCTCGCTGCGGAAATGAAGTGCCAGTCCATCATAATCCCCGCCCTTGGCACCGAGAGGCGCTTTGGCTTCCCACTCGCGCTGTGCTGCGAGGCAATCACTGCAGCGGTGGGAGGTTTCTGCGAGAGGCATTTGGAGGAGCCAACGTCGGTACGGCGCGTGGAGCTGATGAGCATCGACAACGCCACGGTGATGGAATTCAAGAAGTGTTTGAGGAGTATTCACGATGGGGGTGATCGCAGACCCGTTGCCAGAGGCGAACTGCCGCTGAATGCTGCAGAGAGCGAGGAATCGTTGGCTAAACATCGTCATGGGCGCGAAGCGAGTGCCAGTCGCGTGCCTCACGATGCTCAGCAATCACCACCTGGACCCGATTACAAACAACAGCAACGAACAAATACGGTAAGACGAAACATTACCAATAAATAATGTTGTTTAACACCTACTGCTTCTCCCCATGCCCTGTTATGGTACATGTATAAAGTTACGTCTCCCAGTAAAATGTAACGTTGCAAAGCATCTAGATACAAAAAAACCTAATAATACAATGCCAAGACTCTGTGCAAATACATTTCACTTTGACTTCATGGAGAGTGTGAATGCTAACTGCATCATCTCAAAACGTTGTGCGAAAGTAACACGACGTGGATAATGCATAAAGAAGATTGTGGTATGTTTTATGGGTATTTTTGAATTCAATGTATGTTTAACTAACCTCGCACCGTGCATAGCCAACTGTGCTGATCGGAGGGTGCGGAGGGGAAGTACAGCAAACTAACACACAACATGCATGAAAATAAGAAAAGGTCTGAAAAAAATGAGAATAGGTTTTACCCTTTCTGGCAATTAAACAGGTGTTAAGATGTTCAAACACCAAATATAATTTTTTTCAAAGAATCATGTCTGTGTAGGGGTGATTGTTACTCACCATTCAGCAGGCCTGTAGTTTCACCTATTGTCAATAGGGGGCAGAGGCATTACCTCGCCAGGGCAAATGTCCATGGGCCAGAAAGGGGCCAATGGCAGATCCCAGTAAATGGATCCTGGGACACATTCCCCAGGCTCCCGGGTGGGGGGGAACTGGAGGAATGATGTCACCTTCCAGAGAGTTCCAGAAGGAGGGCATGGCTAGGGCGGAGCAAGCCACGTTAGACCAGTGATATAAGCCAGAGCACTCAGAGCTCAGGCTCAGTTATCTCCACACTGAAGACTGAAGACCGGGCTGGAGAATAGGACCCTAGACCCAAAGCTCCGCAGTCCTTCTAAGGGCCGGAGCTCAATGAGGCCAGTGGTCACGGGAGAATAGGTCCCTGGAGAATAGGACCCTGGACCCCAAGCTCCGCAGTCCTTCTAAGGGCTGGAGCTCAGTGAGGCCAGTGGTCAGGACCCACGGACCAGGAGGTCGGGTTAGTCAGCCTCCCCTTGGTGCCAGCCGGAGGACGATAGGGAACGGGTTACCAGTGTTAGATCCCATATAGTTCGGAGGCCATACCTCCCTAGGTATCGGGTGAGGAGACCGGTATACCCTTCGTGTAGGGACCTTGTAGTAAAGACAATAAACCAAAGTGTTGCCTCATAAGCAGTTCATTTGTCAGTATTTACAACACTCCATCTGTATTAACCACACACATTACTTGTCGTGAACATGCAAACAAACATGCTCTGATAACATGGCATTGTCTATTGAACTGATTGGCCCACACCAGAGACAACCTTCTTAAGTGTCTAGTCTCAACCAGTGTTAGACCAGTGAACGCAAAAAGACGAACAGCACAAAGATAACGCACTATCAGAGTATTTATGGCTCAGGGTGAGCATCGCAGGCTGAACACCACATGCAGCTCTAAAGAAATGTGTTTTTAATTTAGTCTAGTGGTGCAGTGTATGGTAGCATATACTCTTTGGTTCTTTCGGTAAAGTCATGTAGATAGAAAATTTTACCAAAGAGTATGGATTTCTGCAGTCACGAAAGCTTCAAATCAAGATTATATACTCTCTTCAAATCTAGATTCAAGATTATATAGTAGTGTAGTTTATAGTAGTGTATAGTATAGTAGTGTATCGTAGTGTATAGTAGTGCGGTGTATAGTAGTGTACAATACGGTAGTTTATAGTAATGTAGTGTAAACTAGTGTATAGTGGTGTAGTGTATACAGGCGACCCCGGCACTTACGACATAATTGGTTCCTGGACGAGTGTCGCAATTCGAGCAGTCGTAAGTCGAACCTTCGTTTCCCATAAACCCAATGCTATACGTTGGAGTTCCATTCATGGAAACCCATTACATACCATACAAATACCAATATTGACCAGGAAAATAATTTAAATAACCCTAACAAACATTTATTGTAACTTAACATAACCTTTACCAAAATGTATTGAGTAACAACAAACACTTACATATGAAAATCGTTAAGTACGTTTATGCACGTGCATCACATTTCCTCTTCTCAGACGTAGCGAAAAGTGAAAATTTGTAGCATATTTACAAAAAAAGTTAAGAACGTTGAGAAAGAGATACTGTTGCGTTCGCCCTCGGCGCAGCTGCAGATAGAAGAGCAAATCACCGCCATCTGGTGACGAGTGTGAACGTAACATATCGCCTGTACAATGCACTATGCACTTCCGAATGTCGGTCCAAACAAGTAACTGGATGCACGGACGGGTTTGTTCGTATCTCTGAAAGTTCGTAAGTCGAATGTTCATAATTAGAGGAGCCCCTGTATTGTTACGTCTTGTAATAGGTACAGTATAAGATTATGAACCCAGTCTGGTCAGCTTGGTCAATATCTACACTTGTGTATAAATATATTTATTTCCACAATGTGTTTTCATTCATGTTTAACAGATGACACACCTGCAGTCGAATGTGTATAAAACCAAGTCTGGACTGAGCATGAACGTTGTGAAAGGAAATATAGAGAACGAAATGGTAAGTTGACATTTTTTTTAAACATCAACTTTCCGTTCACTCGTCCTTTCATTCTATACCAAAGACGAATACCCCCGTATAACCTTTAACAGACTGTTGGGGCAAGTGCTGTTAGCGAGCGCCTGTGATGGCCGGCAAAGCACACGAGGGGGTGAGTTGCCAGCACCACGCCCGGGCGGCCTTTGTCTCCCTAGTGGCAATGTTAACGCACCACACCAGGTACTCGTTTGAGGCTGAGTCGACCTAAGGGAGGCCCAGGACCGGTTCAGATAATTGTCACCGGTGTTGGCCGTGAGCGGTGGGGGGGGGTGGCAGCGACTGCGTAGCGATTCGCGCGCTGCGCTACCAACCCGGCGAGCCGAGTTCGATCCCCGCTCACGGCCACCACCGGTGACGATTATTTGAACCGGTCCTGGGCCTCCCCTAGGTCGACTCAGCCTCAAACGAGTAACTGCTGTGGTGTGTGAACATCGCCATTTGGGAGACAAAGGCGGCCGGGCGTGATGAATCTAAGTCCCGGGCGAAGCCGGGTAGTAAAGCTAGTATATAATATATTCTTCCAATTTATATATAAAATATATTTAATAATATATTATTACTATATATAAAATATATGCGTGAGGGGCTACCTTATATATACTATATATAGTATACACATAATGTATATATATGCGTGGAGGGCTATGCAAGATCCTTCTTTCTCCCGACTTTTACTGAATTAGCGACTATGGATGGGTTTTAACCCCGTATGTCCAATACTATGTTAGTCTATAACTACATTTTATGATTGTTAGTTGAGTTACTGGACCATGTATTGGGTGTAGAGGAAGACCTTCTCACAGTGACAGAGTCAATAATCAAAAGATTTAATGCTTAAAATTACTCACAATTACGTTATCGTGCGTCTGGATTTCATGCCACCCTGATAGGTCTAGGATTTGCTTTGTTGGTGGATCACGCTCCATTACGCTGCTCTATATATGGTAGCCAGATGCCTTAATCGGGTATGGTCTATTGGTAGACTGCAGGTGATTTTTATGAAGAAATTTGTTTAGTTATTTTTTTATTAACATTGTTGTCCATAATCGAGGTTTTTGGGTTAGATCATGTTAATTTCAATGTCGTTAAACCCGCCACAGCCCGACACAGCAAACTAGTAAGGTTGTCACGTAAACAGAACATGCTAGTTCGTTACTAGTATAGCACACCGGTGTGTTGGAAAGCAAATCCACAACATTTACAATTGTGGCATGTTTAACGACACATTCATATTTACGCGACACAAAAAAACCCTATATTATGGAGGTAAACATCCACACAAAAAATTACAACAAACAACGTGAAAACAACAGAAAGTTCAACACCAAGTCACGTCGGGAAGCCAGACAGACCCACGCTACTCAAGCCCGTCCAGGGGTCGAGTCGGAAGATGCATCGTGGATCGAGTTCAAGGTCGTAAACCGATCCACATTCCGGTGTTCCCTCGTCATTCGCGATGAGGACACGCTTCGGAGATGCTCGTGAACAGCAACATTTCGATATGAATAATATTGGCCTACAACAACGTATCTTTTAAATGAATTGCATTAAATAAATATGTTAATGAACCTTTAAATTTATGGAAATTAGCATAATATAAAAAAGGTTATAATAAAACATTAAGTAAATGATAAGAGTTAAAGCATAAATAATAGGTTATTAATTAACTTACCTTAAATTATAATTATGCTGTGCATCATCACTTTCTCTCAACCACCTTATCTCTCATCGCATTATCTCATTACTTTATCTCTCATCATTTTATCTTTCATCGCTTTATCTCTCATCACTATATCTCTCATCTCTCGTCACTTTATCACTTTCTTTCTCTCTCTATCTTTCTCTCGATGGCAGTCGTACAGAGTTCCAGGTGCAATATACGCATCGCAGATAGCAAGTTCGTGAATAACGAGGGAACGCCATGAACAAACATCGTAAATGTGGATCGTCGTGAATTGGTCACAAACGCTTACCTACTAGAGCCGTGAAAAGCGTTTGCCTGTTCCTGCGTCGCGGAATAATTCCCAGTATGCGCCCTGCCGTGCTTCTCCACGCACTCGTCAAACATTGTTCCACTTTTCACGACGGGTCCCGTGTATTGGACGTCTTGAGCGAAATGATGATCTCATGAACAGGCAGACGTGATCGTCAACACGGTCTCCAACAACCTCGACCTGTCTCAAGGCGCCGTTTCTGCAGCGCTCCTTAAGAAGGCTGGGCAACTACTGCAAGATCTCACCTGGAAGGTTTCAAAAAGGAAAACGCTCGCGGACGGAGACGCCATGGCTGTGAGATGGAGTCAGCCCACCCTGTCCTGCAAAGAGGTCTACCACACCGCCTGTTGTCGATGGAACTCGAAAAATGCCACAAAGGTAAACTATAATTGGGTATCACAAAAAAGGCATGAGAACCACATGTATGTGCATACGTTGACCTTTAGCACCGTATGTAGCCAACTGTGCTCATTGGAGGTGTGGGGGTAAGGACAGCAAACTAAACACAAAAAGCAGTTGTAAATAAATGAGTTTGTCAATCTAGATGATGATTTAAAAGTGCATAGGTACAGTGCCTTCCTAATATTGGAAGGGAAGAGCATTCCAGAAGGCCGCAGAAGCGCACCCGGAAGTGCCGCGCGGTGATACGGTGACCGCCGTCTTTGTTCGGTGGTTAGCCAAAAGCTGCGAGGATGATGTTTTATGCTCCTTGATAAGATCAGCAAGGTATTGTGGTTCATGCAGTTTCAGCATTTTCCATTGTTTTTATACCTCTCTTGAATGGGATCTTTATTACTGTAGTATGTATATATCCACAATAGAGGTTTTTGGGTTAGATCGCGTATAGAAATGTGTCGTTAAACCCGCCACCACCCGATAGCCACCTAGTGAAGGTTTGTCACGTAAACACAAATGTGGCCAATTAACTTGTACAGCACTAATCGGTGTGTTGGGGAGTAAACCCACAACGTTTCGCCAGAAATTGCGAAGGCCTATGTGTTAAACAGTATGTATGTTGAACTTCTTTCACACCGTGCATAGCCAAATGTGCTTATCGGAGGTGCGGGAACTAATGAACGTTAGACTAAACACCGGACCACTATGTAAACGCGAGACACCAACATCACTATCTACACAAACAGACATTTGTCACACTCTCTACTTTCCATTCATCGAACATTATACATCTGCAATGTAGTTGACTTGTACATCACGAAACTAGTGTTAACGTAACCATTAAAAGTGAAGTTCAATAGAGAAAGGCAGTTTAACACGTAGGCTTTCGCGACCAATATTATTCATTATGAAGGTTTTTGGGTTAGATCGCGTTATTTATAAATGTGTCTTAACCCTCCACCACCCGACATGGCCAATCAGTAAAAAAAAGTGTCACGTTTAACAAAAAACAAAATAGTTCACTACTTTACCCCACCGGTGTGTTGAAAAGTGAATCCACAACATTTACTATTTTTGAGTACGACGTTTCGCTGGTAATTACATCCAGCACCATCGGGCAATTTGCCAGAATAGTGAAGCCCTCCACTTGCTCCCGGTCTTAAATAGAGGAGCAAGGGTGACGTCATCATTTAACCCATTTAGGTGCAGTGATTTGAGGCGGAGGGGGGTATTGTAATTATATGATAGATTAGTAATCAGTCAATTGTTATGATTAGTAATCAGCGAAACGTCGTACTCAAAAATTGTAAATGTTGTGGATTCACTCTTCAACACACCGGTGGGCTAAAGTAGTGAACTATTTGTCTCTTGTCAACGTGACACATTTTTTACTGATTGGCCGTTTCGGGTGGTGGAGGGTTGCGACACATTTCTACATAACGCGATCTAACCCAAAAACCTTTCTTAAAGGAAGAAAACTACCCCACCACATTGTTTTATGCCCGCGGTTGTGAATTTGCAAAAGTTAAATGAACGCCTTTGTTTTCCCTCATCCCTAAGGTTTTGGAGCAAATCATCTCAACTTGCCTCAACATGGCCAGCAAATCAAACTATGGCACCATCGCCTTCCCGGTCATCGGCACCGGTTTCCTGCAATTCCCTAAGGAGGTCACCGCTGAAGTATTTTTCTCCGAAGTGAAACGCTTTGGCAAACGCAACCCCCGGTCATCACTTACAGCAGTGAGGATCGTCGTGCACGGGCAGGATGAGGAGGTGTTCAGAGTGAGTGTACACCACCGGCGCCTGCTATTCTCCCTTCCCTGTGTTCCGACACAAGAATGACAAAAAATAACCGAATAACGGATAACCCCCCTCGACTGATGAAGGCTCGACTTGCGACCCTCCCCCCCACTTTTACGACCTTCATTTTAGTGAGTTAGACGCTACCCACCGTCCCAAAATTACAAACCAAAACTCGTATCTATGACCGCCTAATGACTGCTGCCGACGCCGTGTCAATTGGCTCGTATTTTAAGAAGCCTCAGCCAGTCCAGGCCCATGTAGAAAAGCACTTAAGAAGTTTCAAATTAAGTTTTAATAAATTAAAATAAATTAAAACTTAAGAAGTTTTAATTTATTTTCGTGGTTAATTTTGGAATTTTATGGTACGTAGCGGGCTTGCAGGAACGGAACTCCCAATTTATAACATTGTGCCGTATGGGAAACAAGGGTTCGACTTATGACAGGAACCAATTAGGGTGCAGGTGGGTTTGTCGTGTGTATTGCATTTCGTTCACAATGTTTTCATTGTCCGAGAAAGGCTTTTCATTAGATGCACTTTCTTCTCGAAAAATGTCATGGATACCCATTGTTATTCAGTTAAATGTGTGTCCATGTTCGATTTAGGTCGATGAAGCGATATGATTCTCACAGACTATATGCGATTGTTGCTGCCCATAAACTAACACTGTCCATAGACTCAACACTGCCCATGGATTCAACACTGCCCATAGACTCAACACTGCCCACATACTCAACACTGCCCATAGACTCAACACATCCCATAAACTCAATACTGCCCTTAGATTCAACACTGCTCTTAGCCTCAACACTGCATCATAGACTAACACTGCCCTTAAATTTTGATTTAAAGCTTTCGTGACTGCAGGGATTCATATTCTTGGTTCTTTCAGTAAAGTCACATAGAAGGGAAACAATAAAATAATAAAAATATAAAACAATAAAATTCTCACGACGTATCGACTGCAACACAAGCAATCATCATCAGGTGTGAAAACCACAGCAATCATTTTTTTAAAAAGTGGCGTTTTTTTGTTTTAACGTTAGCACCACGGAGAGCGATTTGTCAGTTATTCAGCTGGACGAGTCCATCTATATTCGAAAAAGTGGAGGGGGGAGACGAAAATAATGGAAGTGGTCTGAAAGCCACCTTAAGCGTGATCAATCAATTAAGACCCGAAATGGTTTATCAAATCCTTCCAATGATTGCTAAGCTAGAATCCATCTTCTCGGTTGAAATTGTCTCTGTGTTTGTGTATGTGGAAAGCCTCATGAACGAATCTCTCATGGTAGCCAGATGGCTTGTAAAGAACCTCTGTCTGGGAGAAGTAAATGTCATGTGAGCCTACTGAATTATAACAGTGATCTGCCACGGCCGAGGTGTTGGTCCTTCCGTGTTTTAGGTCTGCTTTATGTTCACGAATGCGGTCCGAGACATGTCGTTTGGTTTCTCCAATGTAACTACTACCACAGAGACAACTTAGTTTGTAGACGCCAGGGTACTGTATGTCCGGAATCACATCTTTTACAGACAGAATCAGATCACGGATATTATGTGATGTGTTGAATCGGACTTGGATCTTGTGTTTACCCTACATTGCGAGGATCACAAAAAAAGATCTCCAAAATCTTGAATATTTGCGGACAGCCACAATGACCGATAGCGAGTTTGTGAATAATGAGGCCGAAAATTTACTTAAGGCTTTTAAATGTGAGGTTTTTTTATGCTCACGATTTACGTTTGTAACTCTCTCCACGCCAGGCGTTCATGGCACAAATGCAAAAGGAAAAAGAAAAAAGCGCGAGCAAGACAGAATCGTCAGCAAGCGGCGAGGCCCTCCATGTGCCGAGCCCACAAGATGCAGCACAGTCGCGAGACAGCCAACAGGATGGTGAATACGCACACGCACACACACACATATACACACGTACAACAACAACAACCGCCATTCGCCACTAAGTGGCGGTGACGTCACCACGATGCTTGTGCCAGGACATGTGCACCTTGAGGCCACGTGGAGAGTCGAACGCCCGCTGGCAGGAGGTCACGGGGCAGACCCAGGTGCCACGGGTCGACTGACTGAGATGACTGGCTGATGCACCACCTGTGCCCCCTACTGTGCCAACCTGCTGTGCTTTAGCCACCCGGCGCTCCGCTTGTTGTTGTGAGCATCGCTCCTCCGCCCTCCGTTGTTGTTGGAGGGCGACTACCTCCAACTGCCCAGTAGCGTCCTTCACGAGCCTCCTCCACAGAGGCCGATCTTGACACCGCTGGTACCAGTCATCGGCAAGTCCACTCAGCTCCATGTCCTCCTGTACCACATCACTCCATCTCTTCTGTAGCCCGTGCCGCGCCCATTTAGCCCCCTCGATCCGGCCGAACAAAAGCTGTTTCGGCATGCGGTGGCTGGGCATGCGGGATACATTACCCAGCCATCGCAGCCTTGCCCGCCGGAGGAGCTCACCGATGGGACCTTGCCCAGATCTTTCAAGGATTTGTGAGCTCCTCACACAATCCAGTCTGGTTAAACCCAGGATGGATCGTAGGCAGGCCAGCCTAAATGTTTCTAACCGGCGAAGATGTTCCATTAGGGGGGTCTACGTTTCGCAAGCGTAGAGAAGGGAGGGAATGACCGTGGCCGAGAAGACCTGAAACTTAATGCGGAGCGACAGACCAGGTAGCTTCCACACAGCGTTATGCAACCGATGAAAAGATATTGCCGCTCGACTGATTCGGAGTGAGACCTCTGCTGTTAAACTGGAGCCGGTCATAAGCACACTTCCCAGGTATGGGAAACTCTCCACTCTCTCCACAACTGCCCCATCACCGATTGGGAGTTGTGGGGGTGGAGTGTCCGATGGTACAAAATACCCAGGCAGGTGCTTAGTTTTGGTGGGGCTAATGGTAAGGCCCCATCTATTAGTGGCACGCTCCAGTCTCAGCAGCAGCATCTCCAACTCCTCTTCTACATGAGCAGCTATTACCAAATCATCAGCATACATAACGTGGTTGAGCAATAGGGAGCCATCCCTTGACCACACCCGGGCATCGATCAGCCTCCCATTATATCTGTACCATATGCAGATTCCCCCGGTACAGCTATTGAAGGCTTCACGAACTACGTGGTCGAAATAGATGTTAAATAATGTGGGAGCCAGAGGACATCGCTGTCGCACCCCAAAGTGTACAGGGAAAGGCTCGGACTCCCGGCCACATAGTTTTATCCGGGTCCGCTCACCATCATGAAGGTCCTTAATGATCGTGAGCGGAGGGTCAGGTACTCCAAAAGCACGAAGAACAACCCAGAGCCCAGGCCTTTTGATGGTATCATAGGCCTTGACCAGGTCAATAAAGCAGAGATGTAGGTCTTGCTGGAATTCCCTACACCTCTGCTGTAGCAGACGGAAAGAAAATATGGCATCTGTGCAGGACCGCCCTTTCCTGAAACCACATTGGGGCTCCGCAAGCCTCTCCTCAGCGTGCCTGGCAAGGCGATGTTGAATAATCCTTGCCAGGACCTTTCCCGGCACACTGAGCAGTGAGATGCCCCTGTAGTTGTTACAGTCTGTGCGGTCCCCCTTCTTAAAGAGGGGGACCACCAGAGCATACTTCCAATCCTGCGGAACCCGTCCAGTGGTCCAGACTGTTGTTATGATGTCATATAGGGCAGTCTGTGCACAAACTCCACCCTCCCTCAGCATTTCGCTTGGGAGATCATCTCTGCCCGCTGCCTTTCCTGGTCTCAGACTCCGGATCGCCCTCAGTACTTCCTCAACAGATGGCACTTCAGCCAGCCACGATGTTTTCCTGGCTGAGGGATTTTCCCTCCCCCAGGACCTCACAGAAATGCTCAGCGAATCTACAAACCTGTTCCTGGGGGTCGGAGATTGGATCACCGTTTTTTTCCCTAATGATGGTGTAGCGCTGCAGGTTACTTTTTTGATGGAGTTAAATAGAGATTTGTGATCGCGGGCCACTGAGGCAGACTCCATCTCCTCAGCAACCCGCGACCACCACCCATCCTTGCAGCGCCTCACGGCTCTCCGAACCTCCGAGCGAAGGCTGCAGTAAGCCTCCTAATTCTCTGATGTGGGATTCTGTAGCCGATGACAGTGGACCCGTCGCTTTTTCTCAACCATCCTGAACACCTCCTCTGTCAGCCAGGGTCTCTGGCGAGGTCCTGACCGCTTGCCCAAAGCAGACATTGCAGCCGCATTAGTCAGTTCTAAACCTCGCCCATTTACCCTCGACATCAGGAGGAGTGGGGGACGATGACAACCTCAGCCGCAGGCGATGATGAAATTCTCGCTTGCAACTTTCATCAGATAACCGAGACCAGGCCACTTTTGGTTGGAATGGGGTCCTGGGTGTACACCCACCACCGGAGCAGAAGAATGGGCGGCGCATCTTACAGATGACAAGTCGATGGTCAGAGGGCAGATCAGCTCCACGGTAGGTCCTGGTGTCAAGGACATGGTCTCGTATCCACTGGTCCGTCACTATGTAGTCCAGCAGATGTACTTGCTTGGACCCGGCATGCATCCATGATGTTGTGTGGATGCGCTGATGCCGGAACAGCGTTTTGGTAATTACAAGTCCATGGGCTGCACAAAAATCGAGAAGCCTCCTACCATTGTTATTAAGCTGATCCGGCCCATGCCCTCACTCCAGGCCAGGTGCCAGCATCATGACCAACTCGGGCATTGAAGTCACCCAACAAGATGACTCTATCCCGAGGGGCCACTTTAGCCAGCACCTGTGACAGGAGGTCATAGAAGGCATCTGACTCATCAGCTTTGCCTGCATCCCTCCACAGATGTTCATCTTCGGTGGGGACATAAGTAACCACGACCACTAATCCTCGCCTCCGATTGATGGGAAGGCGAGCCCAAAGTAGCCTGGGGCTTAAAGCTTCCCACACCTCACCGCCACGCTCCCACGCCCCCTTCATTCTTTTGTTCAAAAGAAGAGCCACACCCTGTTGTTTGGCAGTCTCCTGCCCCGAGTAGATAACTGTCCACCCCTCATGGTGGCAGGAGCCAAAACCGGTCCACCGGACCCCCTGAATGCCACAGAGATCCAGGCGGTACCGGTCCAGCTCCCGACAGAGGAGTGGTAGCCTCTCCTCCGCAGTGAGCATTCGAACATTCCACGTGGCCATCCGTAATGGCTTTTCGTTGTTTCTGGAGGAGCCCCGAGGGTTGAGATTCAATCTCCTGGCTCTGCCAATTGGGGTTTGGCCAGGAGACGTCATAGACGCCTGTCCCCCCGGGGCCTCCGACACAAGCTTATTTGGTACATATTTAAGTTTAAGTCGTAGTTTCGTGGTAATTTTTTGAAGGTGGAGGGGTTACCAGCCCCTCGCACCCGTCCAGAGCCCCCGTTTAGCCCCTGTGGTGGTCACAGACGCCATGAGGGGAGGAACCAATCGGAATTGGCCCTCCCCCCACAGCATTGTCCACGACAGAGTTGCCCGTCCGGCACCGCGAGGAGGTAGGGGGTTGTTTTGCCGGACGTACACACACACACACGTACACACACACGTACACACACACACGTACAACAACAGCCACCATTCGCCACTAAGTGGCGGTGACGTCACCACGACGCTTGTGCCAGGCTATGTGCACCTTTAGGCCACGTGAAGTGTCAAACGCCCGCTGGCAGGAGGTCATGGGGCAGACACAGCAGGTGCAGGTGCCACGGGTTGACTGACTGAGATGACTGGCTGATGCAGCACCTGTGCGCCCTACTGTGCCAACTTGCTGTGCTTTAGCCACCCGACGCTCAGCTCGTTGTCGTGAGCGTCGCTCCTCCACCGTCTGTTGTTGTTGGAAGGCAACTGCCTCCAACTTCCCAGCAGCAGCGTCCTTGACGAGCCTCCTCCACAGTGGCCGATCTTGACACCGTTGGTACCAGTCTTCGGCAAGTCCACTCAGCTCCACATTCTCCTGTACGACATCACTCATCTCTTCTCTAGCCCGTGCCACGCCCGCCCAGCCCCCTCGATCCGGCCAAAGAAAAGCTGTTTAGGCATGCGGTGATTGGGCATGCGGGCTACATGGACGGGTGCGAGGGGCTGGTAACCCCTCCACCTTTAATAAATTGCCACTAAGCCACGTACACACGCACACACACATACACACACACGTACACACACACACGTACACACAACAACAACAACCACCATTCGCCACTAAGTGGCTTTGACGTCACCACGACGCTTGTGCCAGGCTATGTGCAACTTGAGGCCACGTGAAGTGTCGAATGCCTGCTGGCAGGAGATCACGGGGCAGACTCAGCAGGTGCAGGTGCCACGGGTCGACTGACTGAGATGAATGGCTGATGCACCACCTGTGCGCCCTACTGTGTCAACTTGCTATGCTTTAGCCACCCGGCACTCCGCTCATTGATGTGAGCATCGCTGCTCCGCCCTCCGTTGTTGATGGAGGGTGACTGCCTCCAACTGCCCAGTAGTGTCCTTCATGAGCCTCCTCCACTGAGGCCGATCTTGACACCGCTAGTACCAGTCATCGGCAAGTTAACTCAGCTCCACGTCCTCCTGTACCACATAACTCCATCTCTTCTCTAGCCTGTGCCGCGCCCATTTAGCCCCCTCTATCCAGCCGGAAAAAAAGCTGCGGTGGTTGGGCATGCGGGCTACATGACCCAGCCAAGTCTGCCTTGCCTGCTGGAGGAGCTCACCAATGGGACTTTGCCCAGATCTTTCAAGGATTTGTGAGCTCCTCACACAATCTAGCCTGGTTAAACCCAGGATGGATCGTAGGCAGGCCAGCCTAAATGTTTCTAACTGGCGAAGATGTTCCAATAGGGGGGTCTACGTTTCGCAAGCGTAGAGAAGGGAGGGAATGACCGTGGCCGAGAAGACCT